CTGGGTTCAATCTCTGTTGTCTAAACAACTCCCCTAATTCGTCTCAACAGCACGCTTTCCTAAAGAACAAACCTATGTGCAGTACAAAACACATCACACCAATAACCTAATATCTACATGAAATCACCTAAAATATGAAGTAAATATATGTTAAGAAAGGTTATATGTATTATCATATCGACTAATGAGTAGACTAGGAGACTCTAGTCATGTCAACCCACTCATGATTGAGTGAGGAGAAGAATGCAGTAGTCAGGACTAGGGGGTGAAACCCAAACAGCAGAAACCATCTGTTGTTTAGTTGATGGCACAAGAAGACACCTCCGATGTATAAAAAAAGACTGGCCTCCAACCCAGAATTCAATAGGTCATCAAACACATGCGTTTTAGTGTGTCAGCGTATTTATATAAATACAACAGAAGGAACAATCCATGGTTCTCCACTGAAATTGATAATCTTCTAAAAGAACGAGATAAGGCGTGGTCTAAAGCAAGGAAAAACAAACTTGATGCGGATTGGCTTTGTTTTCGACAACTTAGAAATAAGTGCACATCTTTGATAAAAAAGTCTAAATCTGAATTCTATCTTACAGAATTGACAAAAAATGTAAATGATCCAAAGAGGTTTTGGAAAACTGTTAAATCTACGTTTGCTTCAACGCAGTCAAGTGCTCTTCCGGCTGTGTTAATCAGAGATGGGTCACATGGGCGGCACGGTGGCTGAGTGGATAGCACTCTCGCCTCTCAGCAAGAAGGTCCTGGGTTCGAATCCCAGTCGGACCAGGGCCTTTCTGAGTGGAGTTTGCATGTTCTCCCCGTGTCTGCGTAGGTTTCCTCCGGGTACTCCGGTTTCCCCTACCACTAAAAAAATATGTCCAATAGTTCTGGCATGTGCCTCCTGTACTGGCCCCTCCCATCTCTGTGTGGAGTGAGAGACAAATGCCCATAATTAACAATTGTAAACCGCTTTGAAACTCAGATCTGCAGTGAAAAGGCGGTATATAAATAAATATAAAAAAAAAAAAAAAATGTGACAGAGAAAGATAAAATGTTGCAACTTTTTAATGAACATTTCATCTCAGCTGGCTCTCTTTTTGATGTTCTTAATCCTGTACAGCAAACTGCAGGCACTTCTACACCAGATGTCCAGAGTAAATGTTTTGGAGCACAAACATTTGCATTTTCCAAGGTGTCTTCTTCTGAGGTGCACAAAGCTTTACTAAACCTTGACACCAGGAAAGCAGCTGGTCCAGATAAGTTGGACGCTTTGTTTTTAAAATTGGCAGCTGACCTCATTGCTGAGCCGCTGTCACAAATTTTTAATCTGAGTCTTACCAGTCACAAGAGCTGCCGCTCCTGAAAACAGGTGATCCATCTGACGTAAATAATTACCGTCCTATTTCCAAATTATGTGTTCTGGCTAAGATATTTGAATGTCCTGTTAGCAATCAGTTGCGATCCTTCCTTGAAGACAACAACATTGTTAATGAATTTCAATCGGGATTCAGGAAGAAGCACAGCACTGTTACAGCCACCATGAAAGTTTTAAATGACGTAGTAAGTGCCCTTGACTGCAAGAAATACTGTGCTGCCTTGTTTCTTGATCTTTCTAAGGCGTTTGACACTGTGGACCATAGGTCATTGATAAAAACTCTTTCCAAAATTGGCGTCTCCGTCCAAGCAGCCGAGTGGTTCACTGACTACCTGTCAAACAGGTCACAGTGTGTTCAAGTGTCTGGGTCAACTTCCTCCTTTTTAGAAGTGTCTAAGGGAGTACCACAAGGTTCAGTTTTAGGCCCAAGGGCGTAGGTTTGCGTGGGGACCATGGGGACATGTCCCCACCAATATTTGGTGAGGACTAAAAAGTCCCCACCAAAATGACATGATGTCCCGTGACCCGGACGGTCCGGGACACATGTCTTCCGTTTGTGCACACGTCGCGCCTCCTCCTCGCCTCCAGAGCAACAGCAGCAGCAGCAGCACGTGACCCGTTCCGTTCTCTGCAGTGATTGGCTGTCTTCTTCAGCGCCAAACTGAAGCACTGAGCAACTGTTTAATTTTTTTAAGTTAGCCAGCGTGAAGCAAGTGTTTTTTTCGTTCCCTGAGCGTTGTAGCACGTGAGTAATCAGAGGAAAGTACTGTAGATCTATTACCATTCAAAGTACTTACGTTATTTCTAATCTGTCAGCGCACTGTTTAATGTTCCGAGGAGCTCACACGGCATAGAACAGAACAGAACTGGCTCCAATAAAGAAACAGGTTGGTTGAAAGGCTGAAAAAATACTTATTGTGCTCTTACTATCCAAAATGTATGAGTGGGTGTGTTGTGTGAATCAGGATAAACTAGGGATGAAAATATTCCATGGATCCACGATTTACAACCTTTATCTGCTGATAATGTGATTTCTGTGAAATGTGTGACAGCGGGCACTTTCTGTTATTTGCTCTAAGCACATTCAAGCGATGCACTCGAATGTGCACGTCCTGGTGCAGCTGCTGCCGCTTTGTAATGACAGCCGCGGCGCTCAGTGAAAGCACAGCTCTAACATGGTACCGAGCTCGGACCATATGCAGACAGAACCATGTTGCAAGTGCGGGTCTCCCTCGTATCTCCCCCGTTTCTCCCCTGTGTCTCTGACATGTCTCTCCCCTGACTCTTCCCAAAGCGCAACCAGCGCTCCCGAAATTAAAGCTCGGATACCTAAATTTTCCATTGCGTTAACGATGCATACTGGTTGTGCGCAAAACACACCACAACAGGTCATTTAAGTTTTTATTTTGCATACTTGAGAGCCCTGTGAGTCATTACTTGCCTTTTTGGGTTGAGAATGGAATAAAAAAAAAGAAAATATAGAAAAATCCACACTGTTGCTTATTGCCAAACTCTTGTTAACTCATTGTATTGAGAAATACTATGTAACTTTTGACATTGGCCAAGTTATATAAATGATTCTGCAGTTCATGTATATGAGTGTCTGTTTTTGATTGTCTATACCTTCTTATATAATTTAGAAAAAATGCCACCTCCACAAAAAAAGATAAAAGATATCAGGAGCTTTTTTAACAGTTGGAAAGTAAGTAAGAGAAAGCACAAGTAATAGCAAATTATGAATTGTGATGATTAATCTTCTGTTAACATTCATAGGAAACTCTGCTTCTCATTCAGTCTACAGCTGAGTTTAGTATAGAAGGCAACACAAATATAACAAATATAGTGTGTGATTACACAACAAATTCTGGGTGAGAAACTCTGGACCCCGTGTCAATGGGTGTAGACTCAGGTCGTAGTGAATGTCCCCACCAAGATTGGAACCAAACCTACACGATTGTTTAGGCCCTCTGTTGTTTTCAATTTATGTGAACAATCTGTGTGATGACCTCCAAAATGCTTCTTACCATCTTTATGCAGACGATACTGTTATTTATTGTTGCTCCTCATCTTTGACAGAGGCCTACGAGCAACTACAAAATGCTTTTAACATTGTACAATCTCGTCTGCACTTCTTGAAACTAGTTTTGAATGCTAAAAAAACAAAACTAATGATCTTTTCAAATCAAAAAGAAAGAAAGGGGAGTATTCCTGGAATTTTCACTACTCAGGGTAAAGAGATTGAGTGTGTGGATAGTTCCAAGTATCTGGGATTTGTTATTGACTCTGGACTATCTTTTAAATTACACATTGCAGCTCTGGTCAGAAAATTAAGGGTTAAGATAGGATTTTATTTCAGAAACAAGTCGTGTTTCACCCTTAGAGCCCAAAAACTATTTGTTTCTGCCACTTTTTTACCCTTAATTGATTATGGTGATGTTATTTATATGTCTGCATCAGCTCAGTGTCTGCAGTCGCTAAATTCTGTGTATCACAGTGCTTTGAGGTACGTGACGGGATGTAGTCGCCTCACACATCATTGTGAACTTTATGCTAAAGCCCAGTGGCCCTCACTGGCAGTGAGGAGGTACACGCACTGGATGCTGTTGGTGTACAAAGCTCTTCTCGGTTTGGTTCCTGTCTATCTGTGCTCCCTTCTTCAGAGAACCAAGAGCCTGTACAGTTTACGTTCCAATGATTCTTACCTTCTGACTGTTCCACGTGTCCGGACGGAGCTGGGAAAGCAGGCATTTAGGTATTCTGCTCCCGCTGCATGGAACAGTCTGCAGTCAGATCTGAAGTGGTCCAAATTGTTGTCTTTAAACGCATTTCGTTCACTTCTTTTTAAAAAACAGTTCTCAACCATTGCCAAGTGCTCATGCTTTTAAACTTTAACGTGTTATATAGTTGCCTTTAGTTTTTTATTTTTGATCATGTACATGTTTTGTAGTTTCACTGTTTGTACTTTGTAGTATTATTGTATTGTATTATTATTGTATTGTTTTACTGTTGCTCTGTAAAGTGCCTGTGACGTGTGCTACAGACCTCTTGGCCAGGACTCCCTTGAAAAAGAGATCTCGATCTCAATGGGTATTTTCCTGGTTAAATAAAGGTTAAAAAAAAAAAAATGAACACTGGGGTACCTAACTTTTCTTGATGAATAACATATGTAGTTTTTCCCAAGAGAAAGAGTCTGGTAAAAGTTGGGAACAAAGCAGACTGCTGTCTTCATCTCATTAGACCACATGTCATCTGCTGAGTCAGTATTTGACTCTTGGGCTGATAAATGATTGGCTGAGTGAGGGTGGTCCTCTCTTTTTCACTTCTCTGTCTGAAAAAGCTGTTCTAAAGATGTAACAGATGCCAAAAATACAAACTAGTGATAGAAGCAAACTGTTTTAAAGCCAGGAACAAGAAACATGGGATATGGGTCTGATGAGTTCTGTTGCTGTGGTTTGAAAGTTACAGACCCCAGCTTTAATGTTATGGACCCCAGCTTTATTCAAACTATTAATTCTGTGATAAACTGGTAATTCTTCATGAGACATGTAAAGACCGCGTACTTAAGTCAGGTCTCTGGTCTCCACATCAGTCAGGTCAGGGTCTGGTCTGTGGCTCTGGCTCCACATGGTCATGCTTTCACCTTGTTTTGTGTGTGCTCCTGGACCTTCTTGGACGAGGGTAGTTTGGGCAGAAGCTTTCCCCCTGCGCTCTCCAGGATGGCCTTCATGGTGCTGAGGCTGGGGCAGATGCCTGGGGTCAGGTAGAAGAACTTCCCCTGGACACAAGGCAAATGTTTAACATACAGAAACATTCTGCCGCTCTAGGGTCCGCTCTAGAGCCCGCTCTAGGGCCCGCTCTACGGCCCGCTCTACGGTCGGCTCTAGGGTCGGCTCTAGGGTCGGGTCAAGGGTCCACTCTAGGGTCGGGTCTAGGGTCCACTCTAGGGTCGGCTCTCCAGTCTCACGTACCCAGCAGGTTGATGACGAGCTGGGGGTTGGGGGCCAGGGGCTCCGTGTGGCTGTAGTTCTGGTAGCGGCTGTGCTGGATCTGCCTCAGGGCCTCAAAGTTCCCCAGCAGCACGTCACACAGCCACTGTGCGTTCACACAGGGGATCTTCCACTCTTTGGCCTTTTCGTACTTCAGTCCGTTTGGTTCGAACTGCAGGATCCGGTTCTGTTTGTTTTAATCAGAGGAAGAAAAGACTCTAAAGAGAAACCCCTGTTTGAACTAACCTTACTTCAATCAAATCAATACAATTTTATTTAGCCCTACTCGGCCCGGCCCAGCCCCATTCTTCACTTGATTTAATGTTTACCCTGAACGCAATAACTAGGGAAAGCAGCACAGATCCACCCGTTTCAATTAAGGTGACATCACCTCCATGCAAGAAATGGCTATACGTTTTGAGCGTTGTATGGTGTATCACCCAAATTCATATGACACACAAGAATTTGGTTGCTTAGGATCGTGCTTAGGACGAACTGTGAAAAATTATATACTGTATGTTTGAGACCACTGCCGTAAGGAGTTTTCAGGGTATATGTTTTGTCCCAATGCTAACAACTATAAGCTAGGGGTTCTAAAACGTTTATAAAGTTTGGTCTTTGAGGGCACAATAATAAGGTGAGCTATCATTTATTCTCTGTGTCCTCTGCATTTGACCCATCCTTCAAGAAACACTATCCTCCAGCAGACTCCTCAAAGACAATGGGCCTCATTCACGAACCGTACTTAAGAACAAATTTGTGCGTAAATCCTACTTACGAAGATTTTACGAAGATTGTGGCATTCATGAAATTTTCTCGTAACCAGAATTTCTCTTGGGTACGTACAAATCCTACAAATCCTCGCACTCGTACGCACATTCAGTGCCGACATGTTTGCACGCAGGTGTTATGAAGTTCAATAAAACACAACATTACAGTGATATATACAATTTTTAAATGTGGCGAAATGTTGAAAGGTTCAAGGTGGCCGAATACTTTCGCAAAGCACTGTATGTTTGTTATTGTGTATGTTCATGTTGGTTTTGATACAAATGTATATATATAATGTACAGTTTCTATAAACACAAAAAGAATAAAAAACATTTTATTATAAAAATGAAATACATTTTCTTTAGAACAAAATTAATCATTTCAAACACTGATGCAAAAGGGAGTGAGGACAGAGGAGGTGTTAACGTGGCGTTCAGGGGACTTCAGAAACACACACATACACACCTGGATTCTCTGCTTGTTCATAAACAGCTCAGAAACCTTATTTCAAAACCACATCTTTGTTTCTACAGTTTCTTGCACTCACGACCTCACACGTCACAGTAACCCGGGCTCAGGACTCCTGAGGCCAACACTTAATGCTTGAGTTTCCAGTTTAAATTCAAATGAGTTCCAACTCAAATTTCCCAGTTCAGACGTTCACTCTCTTGAGTGACCATGGTAATTGTAATGTGGAGGGTGTTGCTGATTAAAGGCACCTAGACTAGAGGGCACCTGTGGTACTGCAGCCTACATCCACACCGGGTTGTATGGAGATTTCACCTCAGACCTCAAAGTCCTGGATCTATAGCCTCAAGAAATTAATTTTACTATGTCCCCGGGGAAATTTGCCTTGGACTCACAGGCTGCTACAATGAAAATACACATAAGACAGACATAAACCATCACCGCTCTGCTCCATGACCTGCATCCAGGAGGTTCACAGATATGGGTAGGAACCAGTGGGGGCAGGTCCAGGTGTTCAAAAAGATCCCTGAGCTCGTGCGCTGACATGCTTGCACTCTCACTCCTTGCTATTGGTGGCATACCCGGAAACAGAAATATCCATTGTATTTAATTCTCTTGAAACGGCTTTTCAGTTTGGTCCAAAAGTCGCTTGTTCCAGATGCGTGTCAATGCACCAGCCTAGTTTAGCTGCTGTGGACTTTCGAATGAACTTGTTAATCAATGGGGCTATAACGGTTAATGCATGCCCAAATGCGTTTATCCACATTTTCCTGCGCGAGGGGCTGCTTGTGGCTATTTGGAATCTGCCCATGTCTGTGGCACACACATTTCAACGGAGAAAATAGGCGTCACTACGTTCGTTCATAATTACAGTTTATGGTAGGAACGAGTTCTATTACCGGTTCTAATACCAGTTGAGGTATCTTTTCTTTTATTTTTTTTGGTACTCTGTAGTATACTCTGAGTAGAGGACATGAGATCGATCTGAGATGATTTTTTGAATCTACAGTCTCAGTCCTCGATCTGCAGTCTCAGTCCTGGATCTGCAGTCTCAGTCCTGGATCCGCAGTCTCAGTCCTGGATCCGCAGTCTCAGTCCTGGATCTGCAGTCTCAGTCCTGGATCCACAGTCTCAGTCCTGGATCCATAGTCTCAGTCCTGGATCCACAGTCTCAGTCCTGGATCTACAGTCTCAGTCCTGGATCTACAGCCTCAGTCCTGGTTCTACAGCCTGAAGTTACACAGACGTTAATGCAAGCACGTAGACCCAGGTCGATGCGGTATGGTCTCTGTGATAAGGAGCTTTTACGACCCACTTGCAGACCGGGCTGGCTCGGGCTTCCAGACTCTGAGACGTTCTTTATGATGTGTTCAAGTGTATACACCGTGTCCTTCTGGTCTGTCCCTTGGTTTTGTACTGATCCTCCTCCACGTCAGGACCAGGATGAGTTCTACAGAAGAGCCACAGAGGAGGGGACAGCAACATCTGCAATCACCTTCACCAGGGCCACGGTCTCCTGGGGGGCCACCTGAGGCTGAACAGACTCGGGCCAGTCCTCCTGAAATATGGGACAGTGTAGCACATGTTTGAGCTCACAGAGAAAAGCTTTTTTAAGGTTAAAGTTTAATCGTCAAGAAGTGTGTCCTTTATAAATCTGATCATTAGTGCTTTTAAAAACTGGTTCTACAGCCTCAGTCCTGGATCTAAAGCCTGAGTCCTGGGTCTACAGCCTCAGTCCTGGATCTAAAGCCTGAGTCCTGGGTCTAAAGCCTGAGTCCTGGGTCTACAGCCTCAGTCCTGGATCTAAAGCCTGAGTCCTGGGTCTAAAGCCTGAGTCCTGGGTCTATAGCCTCATGTGTTTGTACTGACCAGGGATTGTGGCAGCGCCTCCTTGTGGAAGAACCCAACACAGATGTGAGGCCAGCAGTGGACCATGAACCAGAGCACAGCACAGAGGAACCCAGTTGAGACCAGGGCCACGACCGCCACAGTGACCGGTTTCTCCCATCCCCTTGGACCTGCACAGAGTCATGGTCAGTGTCGCACTATAGGAGGAGCACTTGTCCCAAAAGGAGACGTATTCTGCAAAGCCCTCTTTAAACCATGTGGACTCTAGACCTGTGGACCAGACCCCAGTCTCCAGTCCTAGTCCTCCGGTTCTGTGACAGCCCGACGGTTGTTGTAATTTTCAACAATAGAAATTTTTACTTTTGTTTTAAAAACCTGGAAAAACCTTTAATGACGTAAGAGTCTGAAAAGGCATCATAGGACATGTTTGAAAGCAGAGTGGTAGGGCAGAAGGGGCGGGCGGCAGACCTGGTAAGCGGTCACAGTGTGGCGCTGTGGAGCTGCTGCTGCGACCAGAGGGCAGCTCGCTCTGGGCCTGAACGCAATACTCCTCTCCCTCCTGCAGGTCTGCAAAACGAACCTGCGACGAACGCACCACACGCTCCTCCACAAAGACAGGAGAGACCACCTGCAGGACACAAGCACATCTCTCTGGTCTCTCTTTCTGGTCTCTCTTTGGTCTTTCTCTGGTCTTTCTCTGATCTTTCTCTGGTCTTACAATACAATTTACAATACAATTTATTCTTGTATAGCCCTAGGTCACAACAGAAGTCATCTCAGAGGACTTAACAAAACCATTGAAATCACCAACATCTTTCTCTGGTCTCTCTCTGGTCTTTCCTCCTCTCTCTGGTCTCTCTCTGGTCTTTCTCTGGTCTGTCTCTCTGGTCTCTCTGTCTGTCTGGTCTGCCACTCTGGTCTCTCTCTGGTCTCTCCCTGCTCTCTTCCTCTGGTCTCTATCTCTGTCTCTGGTCTGTCTCTCTGGTCAGTCTCTCTTCTCTGTCTCTCTGGTCTGTGTCTGGTCTGTCTCTGGTCTGTCTCTGGTCTGTCTCTGGTCTCTCTCTGGCCTGTCTCTCTGGCCTGTCTCTCTGGTCTCTCTCTGGCCTGTCTCTCTGGTCTCTCTCTGGTCTCTCTCTGTGGTCTGTCTCTCTGGTCTCTCTCTGGTCTCTCTCTGGTCTGTCTCTCTGGTCTCTCTCTGGTCTGTCTCTCTGGTCTCTCTCTGGTCTGTCTCTCTGGTACTGGAAATGAAAGTGACCTGTTTGAGTGTGGTCCTCCACAGAGACACTCGTACGGAGCAGATCAGTGGAACGTCGTCCAGAGAAACCAGCAGACTGTCGCCCGACACGTTCAGCTCCAGGCGCGGCGGCAGCAGCTGCACTGCAACAGAAATGGCAGCCTCACTCCATAGATCAGACCCGTAAGCCTGGGACATGTGTATGGACGTGCGGCGTGTTGTTTGGACCCGTGTTGACTGCTCACAGAAAAGTCTTCTGAAGTCACCAGAGGGAATCCTTTTGCATGTATGAAATAAGTGGATTTATTTATTTAGTGTATTTCTTCATTATATTTATGTACTTAATTGTTCTAGATATGTGTATATATTATTTTCTATAAATTCATTGTTTTCCTTTTTTTAATGTATTTATTTATTTAATGAACTTTATCAGGAGCTGAATAAAAGTGGTTTCAGTATTAAAGTATAAAAACAAATTCCCTCAAGTGAATTAAATAAAAAAATAAAAAAATAATAAAAAGAAAAACAAAACCCGTCTGAATTTATTTCCTGGTCAGTTTTTCAGTCCACTTCCAAAACTTTAGACCTGCTTTAGACCTTCTTTAGTGAACAAATCTGACATAACATGCAGTGTTTGTCTTATAAGGGAGAATGTTTTTAATAAGAAATAGCCCTGTAAGTCACTATGAAAGTTTTGCACCACCATGTGACCTACATAGCAACCGTTACTACGCACGTGCGCAGTGGTGCAAAACCTCTATTTGAGCAGAAAGCTGATTGGCTGAGTGTGGGTGATCCTCTCTGGTTCACTTTTCTGTCTAAAAATGTGACAATAAATACATGATGTGAAAACTAGAGCCAGGAACAAGAGATATTTCATTACTGAGTACTTTCTACTGGTATGGTCTGAGAGTACCCCAGCTTTAAAGTTATTCCACATTCAGTATCATGCTTTTGGAGACTGCACATACATATATTTGACTGTAGCTGTTGACTTACTGTGGTTGCGGTTGAAAGGTGGATGCAGCTGTTGCCATGGAGACAGGACCGGTCCACATTGAGCCTGGACCCTGAGGTTGTAGTCCGAGTCGGACTCCACCTCCGCACTCAAGTCACAGGAGCATTCAGAGGACAGCTGACAGTGAGGGGCCTGGATCCACACCCCGCCCAGGACCAGCCGCTCAAAGTCCCTGTCCACACAGACCTGCTTTAGACCGAGTTTGGACCGGGTTTAGTCCTGCTTTAGACCTGCTTGAGTCTTGCTTTAGTCCTGTTTGAGACCTGCTTTACACCTTATCTAGACCTGCTTTAGACCATTTTAGAACTACCCTATGAGCCTATATCTTCTTTAGACCTGCTTCTTTTGAGACCTGTTTGAGACCGGCTTTAATCCTATTTGAGACCTGCTTTTGTCCTATTTGAGACCTGCTTTTGTCCTATTTGAGACCTGCTTTAGTCCTGTTTGAGACCTGCTTTAGTCCTGTTTGAGACCTGCTTTAGTCCTGTCTGAGACCTGCTTTAGTCCTGTTTGAGACCTGCTTTAGTCCTATTTGAGACCTGCTTTAGTCCTGTTTGAGACCTGCTTTAGTCCTGTTTGAGACCTGCTTTAGTCCTGTTTGAGACCTGCTTTTGTCCTATTTGAGACCTGCTTTTGTCCTATTTGAGACCTGCTTTAGTCCTGTTTGAGACCTGCTTTAGTCCTGTTTGAGACCTGCTTTTGTCCTGTTTGAGACTTGCTTTAGTCCTGTCTGAGACCTGCTTTAGTCCTGTCTGAGACCTGCTTTAGTCCTGTTTGAGACCTGCTTCAGTCCTGTGCACAGACAAAAAGACCTGCTTTTGTCCTTTTTGAGACCTGCCTTTGTCCTATTTGAGACCTGGAGACCAGCTTACCCTTGATACTGCACAGAGTAGAGCATTGTAGTACTGCAGTCGTCCTGAAGGGGGAGCCAGCTCAATGAGTGTCTCATGTTGACGGAGGTCATGCTGAGGCCGGAGGGAGCAGAGAGCGCGTACACACCTGAAAAATACACACGACTCGTGCTACAGTCTGACAGTGAAACAGTACTACAGTCTAACATTTTACTTGTTCTAAAGTTTGACATTGTACGTGTGTTTGTGTGTATGTCTCAGTGCATGTGTCTTTTTGTGTGTACGTGTATGACAGTGTGTGTGTATTTCCTTGTGTCTCATTGCCTGTGGGTGGTGTGTGTGTGGGCGTGTCTTTGTGTATGTGTGTGTATGCATGTCGTCCTGTCCTAATCATTGAGTTATTTCCATAAAAACGACCCTGAGTTTTTTTTAACATCTGGAGTATGAAGTGCAGGCGCAGACATGACCACAGGGGGCAGCACCCGATAGCAGCTCCTCACACAGAGTTTAGAAAGTGAAAATAATCATGAGTATTATTGTAAGGAACGTGTTGCTCCTGCTCTCTCTGATGTTGTGTATTTGGCTGCCACACCCTCTGGATCTGGTTCAACACAGAAGCTTTGATTTGTTAGTGTTGTTGTTACCTGCTTTAGTCCTGCTTTAGTCCTGCTTTATACCTAATTCAGACCTGCTTGAGACCTGCTTTATAAATCCTTTCGACCTGCTTTAGACCTAATTTAGACCTGCTAACCTGCTTTAGTCCAGCTTTAGACCTGCTTTAGACCAGCTTTAGACCTGCTTTAGTCCAGCTTTAGTCCAGCTTTAGACCTGCTTGAGCCCTGCTTGAGACCTGCTTTAGTCCTGCTTTAGTCCAGCTTTAGACCTGCTTTAGACCTAATGTAGACCTGCTTAGACCTGCTTTAGACCTGCTTTAGTTCCACCGTAGACCTGCTTTAGTCCTGCTTTATACCTAAGACAGACCTGCTTGAGACCTGCTTTAGACCACCTGCTTAAGACCTGCTTTAGTTCCACTGTAGACCTGCTTTAGTCCTGCTTTAGACCTGCTTCAGACCTGCTTCAGACCTAATGTAGACCTGCTTTAGACCTAATGTAGACCTGCTTAGACCTGCTTTAGACCTAATTTAGACCTGCTTTAGTCCAGCTTTAGACCTGCTTGAGACTTGCTTTTGTCCTGCTTTAGACCTGCTTCAGTCCTGCTTTAGTCCAGCTTTAGACCTGCTTGAGACCTGCTTTAGTCCTGCTTTAGACCGGCTTTAGACCTGCTTTAGACCTAATGTAGACCTGCTTTAGACCTGATGTAGACCTGCTGCTTTAGTCCTGCTTTAGACCTAATGTAGACCTACTTTAGACCTGCTATACCTGTTTTAGTTCTGCTTAAGACCTGCTTCAGTCCTGCTTTAGACCTGCTTTAAACCTAATGTAGACCTGCTTTAGTCCTACTTAAGACCTGCTTTAGTCCTACTTAAGACCTGCTTTAGTCCTACTTAAGACCTGCTTGAGACCTGTTTTAGTCCTACTTAAGACCTGTTTAAGACCTGCTTTAGTCCTACTTAAGACCTGCTTAAGACCTGCTTTAGTCCTACTTAAGACCTGCTTTAGTCCTGTACTACAGTCTAACATTTTACTTGTTCTAAAGTTTGACATTGTACGTGTGTTTGTGTGTATGTCTCAGTGCATGTGTCTTTTTGTGTGTACGTGTATGACAGTGTGTGTGTATTTCCTTGTGTCTCATTGCCTGTGGGTGGTGTGTGTGTGGGCGTGTCTTTGTGTATGTGTGTGTATGCATGTCGTCCTGTCCTAATCATTGAGTTATTTCCGTAAAAACGACCCTGAGTTTTTTTTAACATCTGGAGTATGAAGTGCAGGCGCAGACATGACCACAGGGGGCAGCACCCGATAGCAGCTCCTCACACAGAGTTTAGAAAGTGAAAATAATCATGAGTATTATTGTAAGGAACGTGTTGCTCCTGCTCTCTCTGATGTTGTGTATTTGGCTGCCACACCCTCTGGATCTGGTTCAACACAGAAGCTTTGATTTGTTAGTGTTGTTGTTACCTGCTTTAGTCCTGCTTTAGTCCTGCTTTATACCTAATTCAGACCTGCTTGAGACCTGCTTTATAAATCCTTTCGACCTGCTTTAGACCTAATTTAGACCTGCTAACCTGCTTTAGTCCAGCTTTAGACCTGCTTTAGACCAGCTTTAGACCTGCTTTAGTCCAGCTTTAGACCTGCTTGAGACCTGCTTGAGACCTGCTTTAGTCCAGCTTTAGACCTGCTTTAGCTCCACTGTAGACCTGCTTTAGTCCTGCTTTAGACCTGCTTTAGTTCCACTGTAGACCTGCTTTAGTCCTGCTTTAGACCTGCTTCAGACCTAATGTAGACCTGCTTTACACCTAATGTAGACCTGCTTAGACCTGCTTTAGACCTAATTTAGACCTGCTTTAGACCTAATTTAGACCTGCTTTAGTCCAGCTTTAGACCTGCTTGAGACCTGCTTTAGTCCAGCTTTAGACCTGCTTGAGACTTGCTTTTGTCCTGCTTTAGTCCAGCTTTAGACCTGCTTGAGACCTGCCCTAGTCCTGCTTTAGACCTGCTTTAGACCTAATGTAGACCTGCTTTAGACCTGATGTAGACCTGCTGCTTTAGTCCTGCTTTAGACCTAATGTAGACCTACTTTAGACCTGCTTTATACCTGTTTTAGTTCTGCTTAAGACCTGCTTCAGTCCTGCTTTAGACCTGCTTTAAACCTAATGTAGACCTGCTTTAGTCCTACTTAAGACCTGCTTTAGTCCTACTTAAGACCTGCTTTAGTTCTACTTAAGACCTGCTTTAGTCCTTGTTTAGGACACACACATAGAACAACACACGGCTGGAGATGATGAGGTATGAGAAAAAAACAAAATGGCCTCAGTCTCAGTGATCAGTGAGGGGGTCTCTCACTGTCCACACCACAGATAAACAGGAATATTTTAAAACAGAGGAACATAATAAAGTGTAATTTAAAAAAAAGAAGAAGAAAAAAAAAATGTTTTTCTTAATTGTCAAAAACACGGATGGGAGCCACTGTTCAACCAAACCGCCCTGTTACCGCTGTCTCAGCTGCAGATGTGAGACTTCAGGTGTTCAACTTGTAAATACTGTTGGTCTCAGAGTCACAGGAGGACGTCTGGGACCCTCGCAGACTCAAAGATCAGCAGAGCGCTGCATAATGAAAGGTCCCATTTGATACTTTTTGACTCTTCTCTGCTTTAAACATCAGCTTCGTACATATTCCCAAAGTGGTTTATTTCATTGATTCCCTCAAGCTTTTGGTAGAAATCGATCTTTCTCTTTCATTCCACAAAGGCAGAAAAATACCGTGGTTCAATTCGTGCACCTATGGATTGATTATCTGTCATTCTGACTGCAGCTGTAGTCTGTTCATTGCTATTCACCCACTGTTCCATTGTCTGTTTTGTGGCGTGATGATAGGACCGCTGAACCCCTGGCCCGGACTCATGGGCAGCAACCGCCTGGGAGCCCCCTGAGACCTGGACTTACAGCCACAGTCCTGGTTCCGTTCTGATGCAGGAGGGTCTAAGGCCCGTGAGATGATTCAGAATATGTATGAATACTTCTGAACAGTGATCCTCCTGCTCCCTATGGACCAACGGCACCAATGTGTTTGTTATCATTGCATTTTCAGTGTTCAAACTGTTTGATTTTTCTGATCTGTTGTTGAAAAATTGACTTTTTTGTACGACTGCTGTTGTGATTCAGGGCGATACACAAATATAATAATATAATAATAATAATAATGAATTGTGTATAAGACAATAATGCAGTATTAGGGATGTTGGGGGTCTCAGACATTTGGACATGTTTCAGACTTTTCAGGGTCATATGCAATCAAAAAGAAAAAAAAAAGAATCTTAAAAGGAGGCTTCAAAGAAAATAATGAAGGAAGATGTTTTGTATCCATGAGTATGTAAGTTAGTATCAGTGACTGAGGGTTAAATACGATGTTTATCTTTATAATTGTAAGCATATTACAACATCACACAAAAACAATAACAACATTCCTCACCTGCTTGCAGCAGAGTCAGCAGAAGGACGAACCCAGTGGGGGGCCTCATGTCAGGGGCCACCTCTGCTCCGGTCAGCCCTGCTCCTCCAGACCCCTACTTCTCCCAGACCCCTGTGGAGCTCAGGTCTACTCTGGTGCTCTGCTAGATAGGTTTAAGGCGGTATGTAGGCTGCATTTAAGGTGGAATGTGGAGCGTGTTGAGCCGGTCTTTCTGAATCTGGAGATTCACAAACACGTCACGCCGGTGTCTGTCTCACATAATGAGGCGTGTGTCACAGCAATGTCATGTTTTCCTCGACAGGGTTAGGGTTAGGGTTAGGGTTGCACCTGGGTGAGGTGCAGCGGCAGGACCCACTGGTCCAATGAACGGTCAAAATGGAGAGAGAGAAAACCTGGTCTGGAACCAGGCCCTTTATACTTCCCAGCTGATCACCACACAGGTGTGGGGTGGGACATCAGTCAGCTGGAGGTGGGAGGAGGCTGAAGAGAAATACAAATACAATGCGAAAGGACATATGGTCTGTAACATTTAACTCCAAAATGTCCACTGTGACTGTCACAGGTGGAGTGTGCAATAGTGCAGATTAGAACATTTGTCTGAAAGTTTTTTTTTGTTTCAGTTGATACAAACAAATGTTGTTTCAGTAAATGTTTAAACATCAGTTTGGGAGTCTGGCTCACAGCGCCCTCTTCTGGTCTGTATGGATCTTATTCAGTCAAACCCGTGTACACAAGTTTGACACACAAATAATTTATCTGGTCTCTGATCTCATGGTTTCTCTCACTGGTCTCTTTCTGGTCTCTCTGGCCTGTCTCTGTTCCCTCTCCCTCTGGTCTTTCTCCCAGGTCTCTCTGGTTTCTCTCTCAGGTCTCTCTGGTCTGTCTGTCTCTCTCTCTCTCTGGTCCCTCCATCTGGTCTCTCTCTGGTCTTGCTCGGCTGTCAGAATGTCCATGCACATGTTGCATCATGGTTGGTACCAGTTGTGCCGGATGAGGTGTTGTGCCTGTAGCCTGCTTGGAGGACCTGCTCAGAAATCTGATGAACGTCAGGGGCTCGCCCTGAAACAGGAAGTGAGCTGTGACAAAGACTACGCCCAAATATGGACAGTTTCACCCCCCTCAGCTCAAACAGCCGCCCCCAGAAATATGTCCTGGTATAGTATTTACTTTATTATTCCCCGTAGGGCAATTCATCCTCTGCATTTGACCGCATTTGCCACTAAGGCTTTCGTCAGGAGCAGTGGTCACCATAGTAACAGCGCCTGGGAACCCATCTCCAGCTGTTGATGCTCGGCTTGGTAAGGGCCGGAGCTGAAGGATTTACCTAATGTACATATTTTTAGTGGTATAGAGGAAACGCAGGCACGGGGGGAACATGCAAACTCCACTCAGAAAGACCCTGTTCCAACCAGGATTCAAACCCAGGACCTTTTTGCTGAGATTAGAGAACGCTATCCACTCAGCCACCGCGCCGCCCTGCTTTAGACCAGCTTTAGACCTACTTTAGTCCTGCTTTAGTCCTGCTTTAGACCTGATTTAGACCTGCTTTAGACCTCCTTTAGACCTGCTTTAGTCCTGCTTTAGTCCTGCTTTAGACCTGATTTAGACCTGCTTTAGTCCTGCTTTAGTCCTGCTTTAGACCTGATTTAGACCTGCTTTAGTCCTGCTTTAGACCTGCTTTAGACTGGCTTTAGTCCTGCTTTAGTCCTGCTTTAGTCCTGTGACTCGCTGGGTTCTTAATGGCACAAAATATAACATGTTTTCTATTCAGATGGCAGATTGTGGTCTGGTTTGTTCACAAAGTTTTATGTCCAGATTCTTTCTGTTGTCCCCACAGCAGGCGGTAACAGAAACATGTTTATTCAAATAGAGATCATCTGAAGTCATGTCCACATCTGGCTCCCCTCAGCTCCTGCAGGTCTAGGCCTGAGTCTGGTCTCGGTCTGAACAGGAGCTGCTGAGAGAACACACATTATTTTATGACTTCATGACAAGACTCGTTAATGTTTAGCTTTCGGTGCGAAGTCCAGTGTGATTCTCCAGCTTCACAACACTGGTGTGGGCTGTCCCTAAAGCTGGTGTGCGTAACTTTCAAACTACACCAACAGAGCTCTGTAATAAACCCATGCCTTGTAGCTCTAAAACAGTTCTGTGTGTTTTTGGTTTCACATCTTTTTATCCACTTTTTCAGACACAAAAGTGAAAATGAGAGGCCCAGCAGCACTCAGCTCTCAGCCCAAAAAGTCAAATTGTGACCTATGCTAGCTCAATACAGCACAATAGGGAAGTGCTCAAGGTGAAGTCTGGCTCCTCTCTCACTGGCTCCTATTGAATTGCATGTAAAGGTAAATTCTTCTAGCTCAGTTGCTGTTTGTGTCTCTGTCATTCTTGTGAGATATAAATAAAGATCACTTACATGGCCTCAGTCTTGTGTGAGTGAACTATGAGTTTAACATCTGCAGCTGTGAACCGTCCTGCTCCACCCAGAGGCTACTCCACCTCTGCTGCTGTGACCCGTCCTGCTCCACCCAGAGGCTACTCCACCTCTGCTGCTGTGACCCGTCCTGCTCCACCCAGAGGCTACTCCACCTCTGCTGCTGTGACCCCGTCCTGCTCCACCCAGAGGCTACTCCATCTCTGCTGCTGTGACCTGTCCTGCTCCACCCAGAGGCTACTCCATCTCTGCTGCTGTGACCCGTCCTGCTCCACCTAGAGGCCACTCCACCTCTGCTGCTGTGACTTGAAGGGCTGTTACTGACTATTACTATTGTAATTTTTTTAGAATGATAAATATTATTTTTATTTTTGCTGATACTGGACACCTGAATTTCTCCTACGGGATCAATAAAGTATCTATTTATCTATGGCCAGTATAGAACAGGTGGTCATGGTCAACTGTGGTTGTTTTGTAATGTGCTTTATAAATAAGTATCACTTTGACTTTCAATTTTCTCTTTGGTCTTTCACTGGTCCTTCTTTCTGGTCTCTCTCTCTCTGGTCCCTCTTTCTCTCTCTGGTCTCTCTCTGGTCTCTCTCTGGTCCCTCTTTCTGGTCTCTCTCTGGTCTCTCTCTCTGGTCTCTCTCTGGTCTCTCTCCAGTGTCTCTTTTTGGTTTCACTTTGTAAATCTAATCTCTATCAAATAATGATCTTTGAAAACAACAGGACACTTTAGTTTTTAAACTTTTCTTTAACAACTCTCTCTTTGAGCTTTTATTCTATTATAAACTAGAAGTGTCCCCATGGTTCGGATTACAGTAGTCCTCAGGAAGACTCTGGACCAGAACAGTGAGTGGTGTGTGTTCGTCCCAGTTTCTGTAACGTGTGCGTTTCAAAGTGAGTGCAGTCAGGGCGTGTCCCATGGTCATCATCACACTTTATGGTTTTATTGCATCCAAAGGTCTTTGTTTCCCGCTTCCCCTCGGCTCACTTCTCTCCTGGTCCTCGGCTCACTCCTGTCCTGGTCCTCAAATCCCTCCTGTCCTGGTCCTCTGCTTAATCTTGTTTTAGACCTCAGTTCACTCCCATCCTGGTCCTCTGTTTGACCACAGTCTCTCTCTGATCTCTCTCTGATTCTCGATTGTTTGCGTGGGTCTGGGTAAAGAGGATGTCGACAGCGGTGGAGGCCACAGGCTTCATCATGTGCCTGGTCAGCTGGCTGGTCACGGGGGCCGCTTTGGGGAACGACTACTGGAAGATCTCCACGGTGTCCGGCAGCGTGATCATCTCGCAGCGGCAGTTTGAGAACCTGTGGCACGCCTGCGCAGAGAACAGCGCGGGCATCGCAGAGTGTCGCGACTTTGAGTCCCTGCTCGGACTGCCAGGTGAGTTCACCACCAAAACAGTTCATCTCTCGGTCTGGTCTCTGTCTGGTCTCTGTCTGGTCTCTGTCTGGTCTCTGTCTGGTCTCTGTCTGGTCTCTGTCTGGTCTCTGTCTGGTCTCTGTCTGGTCTCTGTCTGGTCTCTGTCTGGTCCCTCTCTGGTCTCTGTCTGGTCTCTGTCTGGTCTCTGTCTCGTCTCTGTCTCGTCTCTGTCTGGTCTCTGTCTGGTCTCTTGTCTGGTCTCTGTCTGGTCTCTGTCTGGTCTTTTTCTGATCTCTCTCTCTGGTCTCAATTCAATTCGATGTATTTGTGTATCGCCCTAAATCACAGTAGTAGTCGTCTCAAAGGGCTTTATAAAGTTGTAGATTTGTCAGCAACAGATCAGAGAATCAAACTGGTCAAAAACAGGAAATTTAATAATCACAAACACATAAAAACCTTTGGTCCAGAGAGAGCCTGAGGTCTGAGAGGAACCCCTCAGAAACTTGGTGGGAAACAGTGAAGAACCTCAGTGAGGCCCATATTGAGAGAGATTTTCTCCCACGGAGAGGCTGTAGATCCAGGACTAAAGAGGCTGTAGATCCAGGACTGAGGCTGTAGATCCAGGACTGAGGCTGTAGATCCAGGACTGAGACTGTAGATCCAGGACTGAGGCTGTAGATCCAGGACTGAGGCTGTAGATCCAGGACTGAGGCTGCAGATCCAGGACTGAAGAGGTTCCAACGGCAGAGAGGGGTTGCAACCTGTGTTTGAGGAGACCAGATCACAGGTTCAGGGGTCCCATCATCACGCCATGAAACAGACGAAGGCACAGCGGATGAATAGGTCTTTCTCTGGTTTCTCGCTGGTGTCTCTCTCTTGTCTTTCTCAGTTTTCTCTCGGGTCTCCCTCTCTGGTCTCTCTCCAATCTCTCTATAGACTCTCTCTCTCTCTGGTCTCTTTCTCTCTGGACTTTCTCTCTCTGGTCTTTCACTGGTCCCTCTCTCTGGTCCTATTCAGGCCTCTTTATCACTAGTCTGTCTCTCTCTCTCTAGGATCTCTCTCTGGTCTCCCTCCGGCCCTTCTCTCTCTCTGGTCCCTCTAAATGAATCTAATCCCTGTCAAATAATGTTCTTTGAAAACAACAGAACATTTTGTTTTTCACACTTTTCTTTCACTAGAATCTTCTCTCTCTCAGATCTTTTTTGGCTCTGACTGAAATACTGAAAAAGAATTACAGACTAGAAAATAATCAGCAAAGCTACAGTGATATCAGCACGAGGTCAAAGTCCAGCTCTGCACACGGAAATGACACCAAAGAGGGAGCATTATCGAACAGGAACGTGAAGTAGTTTGGTGTGTAAAAACCTCACACAATAAAATCCATTCTTAAAAGCTGGGGTACCTAACTTTGACATCAATTCTCCGGTGGCTTCGTCCCAACAGAAAAGGCCTTGTAAAAGTAAAAATCTATGAACAAATCAGACCAGAACATAATGTCTTCATCGAATCAGAAAACATGTAATTATTTGAGTGAGAATGAGCCCTGTGAGTCACTAATTGCCTCTTTGGGCTGAGAACTGAGCGACTTTTATGTCTGAAAAAGCTGATCTACAGATGTGTCAGAGGCAAATAATACACAAGATAAGATAAGAATCCTTTATTGGTCCCACAGCGGGGAAATTTCAATGGGAGCAGACAAAATATACAATAAAAGTAGCTGCTGTGTTTCTTAGCTGTAAATTCTTCAATATCAGTTTTTGGATAAACTGTATCTCTCTGTATACAGTGCACAGTGCAAGGTTATGTACTGTACAGGGTTAGGGGAGGCCGATGAAGAGGATATTCTGAAATTGCAGTATTGCACATTGCACATGATTACAGTACTGACTATTTACAGATTAAAAGCATGCACAGGCTCAGCAGTTCTCATTGTACAGTCTGACAGCAGCAGGAAGACCCAAAGCAGGACCGAGAGCAAAGCCAAGACCAGAGCCTGAATAAGGCCGGAACAAGACCATGACCAAGGCCAGGACCTGAACAAGACTAGAACAAGACCGAGACCAGAGCCAGCACTTGAACAAGACCAAAACAAGACCAAGAGCAAAACCAGGACCTGAATTAGACCAGAACAAGACCAAGAGCAAAGCCAGGACCTGAACAAGACCAAGACCAAGGCCATGACCTGAACAAGACCTGAGCAAGACCAAGACCAAAGCCAGGACCTGAACCGTACCTGAACAAGACCAAGACCAGGACCTGATCAAGACCGGAACAGGACCCGAACAAGACCTGAGCAAGACTGAGACCAAAGCCAGAACCTGAACAAGACCAGAACAAGACCAAGACCAAGGCCAGGACCTAAACAAGATCAGAACAGGAGCTGAACAAGACCTGAACAAGAACAAGTCCAAGACCAGAACCAAGACCAAAACCAAGACTAAAACCAAGACCTGAACAAGACCTGAACAAGACCTGAACAAGACCAAGACCAAAACCAGGACCTGAACAAGACCAGAGCAGGACCTGAACCCGAACAGGACAGACCTTAAATCAGGGGTGCTCACACTTTTTCAGCATGCGAGCTACTTATAAAAGGATCAAGTCAAAATGATCTACCTACTACAAAAATGCAAATCATATATTTATTTCAAAAAATATTCTTTATACCTACAATATATGTTTATGTACATGCAAAACCGCATGAGCCAATATAGCACAACACAACACAATTACCTATGTACATTTTTTGTCATTACCCGAGTTTACTCTGATGACTTGCACTGAATTGAATCGGCCAGGGATGCATAGTCCGGAAAATTGGTGGTAACTCGCTGGCAAGTTTGTCGTGGTTTAGCTTTCCTGCACTGAGCGCGGTTGTTTGCGCATGTGCAGTCACCTAAGTGTCAGTAAAACATTACTGAGTAAAACACAGATGTCATTTGACTGTGGTGCCATGTCCATGTGCCATGCCTGGTTTATTTAAATCCAAATATTTCCCCTCCTCCGTTTATAAAATAATTTGCATCCACACATCTGCGTTATCAATCACGTTCGTAACATTCCAAACATGTGCGTCTCTTACGTCCTGTCCTGCGTTGGGGAAAAACACAGAAGTGGGCGGAGCTTTGATGCAGACGCCGGTAACGGCACTTTTACAGTCATAGAAGACACTCAGAGTAAAGACGTATGTTTACAAGCACTGACCCCGTCCTCAGCCCTGGTTTAGTCCTGGTTTAGTCCTGGTTTAGTCCTGGTTTAGTTGTTTTCGAGCGTGAGTCCCCGCGATCACTTTGTTGCTCTCTGATGTGGAGGATGTTCGCTGCTCCGAGCATCTCACAGTGAACAGTTTTTAAGGTAGTATGATCCATGCTTCAGTGATCAGAGGAATTTAGGGGGGTACTGTGGCGTGCGAGAACGCAAAACTCCGATTATCTCTGTCTACACACAAATGCATTAACGGAGTTTTCAAAAATCTCCACTTTGCCCGGAGTTTTTTGTATATATTAGTTTAGAATGTGTAATTTTTTATTTATTTAATGCGATCTACCAATACTACCTTTGCGATCGACTGGTAGATCGCGATCGACGTATTGAGCACCCCTGCCTTAAATCATAAATGATGTGAAAATAGTGAAGCAGGTTTTAGAGAGAGGAACTAGAGACTTGGTTTTATTACATATTTAGTAGTTCCATATTTTTGGTGGTTTAAAAGTTACATACCCCAGCTTTAAGGCACCTACAGTATATCTACTCAATTCTGATGTCGTGGACCAATTTCTTTTTAACAAAATATATAAATAATGCAAAAGTGGCTCTTTAATGATAATCTTTTTCTATCTTTTTTCCCTGTTCCAACACTGCTTCTCATCAGTCACAGACCTGGAGTTGTTTTGAGATCCACCCATGCTAATATCAAATGTGGCACAAAACATGTAGCTCCGACCCTTCTGTCTCAGTCCTGTAAAGATATGATGTTATTGCATCACTATGACATCACTATGAGATCATTATGACATCTTACTTTATATTTCTTTAAAACAGAAGTATTCCCCACACTATTTGTTTTGCAATCACAATAGTGTGTTTGCAGCCCCCTCTGGTGGTAGCAGAGGGAGACACAGGGAGCTCTGACTGCATATGCTGCTCCCTCTGGTGGCAGCAGACGGAGTTACAGGCAGAGAGCATGTTTATCCCTTATTTCTCCATAAAACTAGCCTCAGGCATCAGGCGTGTTGGTATCTCTCCGATCTCTCTCTGGTCTCCCTCTGGTCTCTCTTTGCTCTCACTCTCTGGTCTCGCTCTGCTCTCTCTGGTCTCTCTCTGCTCTCTCTCTCTTCCCTCTGGTTTCCGTGATCTCTCTCTGCTCTCTCTGGTATCTCTCTGCTCTTTCTGATCTCTCTATCTTCTCTCTGGTCTCCCTGGTCTCTCTCTGCTCTCTCTCTTCTCTCTGGTCTCTCTCTGCTCTCTCACTGATCTTTCTCTGGTCTCTCTCTGATCTCTCTCTGGTCTCTCTCCTCAGCTCACATCCAGGCCTGTAGAGCTCTCATGATCATCGCTCTCCTCATGGGACTGGGCGCCATGATAGTGTCTCTGCTCGGGGTCAAGTGCATCAAGATCGGGTCGGCGACAGACCAGTCCAAGGCCAAGCTGGCGGTGACCGGCGGCATCCTGAGCGTGCTCGGAGGTAAAACCTGCACCAAATACATAGCTTTCAGTCTAAAGCATGACACAACTGCCAACCTCCCAACACACGACCATTCGAACAAGCATACCGCAAGAACAGACTGACACCACTCCTGATTAGCTCTTTGGTTGATTGGTTGTTGCTACCCTCGATATTGGCCCAAGATTAAAGCCAATGTAGCCCTGTGTGAGTCAGCTCTAATCCACATGGTGCCTGTGTGAGTCAGCTCTAATCAACATGGTGACTGTGTGAGTCAGCTCTAATCCACATGGTGCCTGTGTGAGTCAGCTCTAATCCACATGGTGCCTGTGTGAGTCAGCTCTAATCAACATGGTGACTGTGTGAGTCAGCTCTAATCCACATGGTGCCTGTGTGAGTCAGCTCTAATCCACATGGTGCCTGTGTGAGTCAGCTCTAATCCACATGGTGCCTGTGTGAGTCAGCTCTAATCCACATGGTGCCTGTGTGAGTCAGCTCTAATCCACATGGTGCCTGTGTGAGTCAGCTCTTATCCACATGGTGCCTTTGTGAGTCAGCTCTAATCCACATGGTGCCTTTGTGAGTCAGCTCTAATCCACATGGTGCCTGTGTGAGTCAGCTCTAATCCACATGGTGCCTGTGTGAGTCAGCTCTAATCAACATGGTGCCTTTGTGAGTCAGCTCTAATCCACATGGTGACCGTGTGAGTCAGCTATAATCCGCATGGTGCCTTTGTGAGTCAGCTCTAATCCACATGGTGCCTTTGTGAGTCAGCTCTAATCCACATGGTGCCTGTGTGAGTCAGCTCTAATCCACATGGTGCCTGTGTGAGTCAGCTCTAATCCACATGGTGCCTGTGTGCGTCAGCTCTTATCCACATGGTGCCTTTGTGAGTCAGCTCTAATCCACATGGTGCCTTTGTGAGTCAGCCCTAATCCACATGGTGCCTTTGTGAGTCCGCTCTAATCCGCATGGTGCCTGTGTGAGTCAGCTCTAATCCACATGGTGCCTGTCTGAGTCAGCTCTAATCCACATGGTGCCTTTGTGAGTCCGCTCTAATCCGCATGGTGCCTGTGTGAGTCAGCTCTAATCCACATGGTGCCTGTGTGAGTCAGCTTTAATCCACATGGTGCCTGTGCGAGTCAGCTCTAATCCACATGGTGTCTGTGTGAGTCAGCTCTAATCCACATGGTGCCTTTGTGAGTCAGCTCTAATCCACATGGTGCCTGTGTGAGTCAGCTCTAATCCACATCGTACCTTTGTGAGTCAGCTCTAATCCTCTGTCTCAGGTCTGTGCCCGCTGATCGCCGCTTCCTGGTACGCCTACAGAGTGGTGCAGGACTTTCACGACCCGTTCTTCGGCGGAGTCCGGTATACACACACACACACACACACACACACAGATCATTTTATAGATAATATTCTTAAGAAAACAATCACTTAATAATAAGGGACCTACAGTATATCTACTCAATAAACTGGTTGGAGGAGGTGTATGGAAAAGGGAGGAGGTGGGAGGAGAAGGGAGGAGGTGGGAGGAGAAGGGAGGAGGTGGGACAGATGATGACTGGTCGTTGTGTTCTGCAGGTTCGAGCTCGGTACAGGGCTCTACATGGCCTGGGTAGGAGCTGCTCTGGCTGTGCTCGGTGGCGCCCTCCTGTGTTCAGCCTGTCAGAGAGCCTCTCCAAAGAAAGGGTGAGAGTCTGTGATTCTCTCATCAGTCAAAGAACCTGGAGTTGTCTCTCTCTGGTCTCCCTATGGTCCTTCTGTCTGGTCCCTCTCTGTGGTCTCTCTCTATTCTTTCTTTCTAGTCTCTCTTGTCTCCCTATGGTCTTTCTCTCTGGTCCCTTTCTCTGATATCTCTCTGGCCCCTCTCTCTGGTCTCGCTCTGGTCTCGATCTGGTCCCTCTCTGGTCTCTCTCACTCTGGTCTCTCTTTCGTCTCTTTCTGGTCCATCTCTCTGTTCTCTCTCTCAGGTGCCTCTCTGGTCTCTATATGGTCCCACTCGCTGGTCCCTCTCTGGGATCTTACAGGTTTATCTCAAATCAACTGGATTTTAGCAAAGAAACATGTGACCTAAATGACCTATGTGATGCAGATTCTGCTCAGCCTAAGAACCAAAATATGAGTTAAAGTTACTTTGAAACTGTTTTTTTTTCTTTTTACTTTAGTCACTAAAGTTCTGCCGAACACTATGGACCATTTTATAAAAGAGTAAAACCTCATGTGAGAAAGTGTTATGGATTGCATAATAATGTTTTATGGCCCACACACCCACAATGTATTGCTTGAATATTTAAAAAAGTACTCAAAACAAAAAGGTCAACATTTACATATTGAAAGTAGAGCCAAAGACCAAGCCCCAGCGATCCAAGATGGCGCCGTATTCAAATGAATGGTTTGTGCTCAGTGGCGCATTGTGCCGGCATGGGCGATGAAAGATTAGCGGAAGTTGCCTGGAACTCGCAAAGATCTATGGGAAACTCGCCTGTATTTGGGCATCGTCTGGTCCTCCCGGCTCTGCGCAGTGGAGGATCTCCCATGATGCGTTGCGCCAAATACGCGTGTGTGGGTCTCACGCACGTGCACAGAGGGGCACTAAAATCCCCACAAAATCCGACCTTAATGAAAGCTGTAGGTTCTCTGTCAGCTGAGGTTGAGCTGTTTTAGTTTACATTGAGTTCTATGGGGAGAATTTCTGGGTAGCCAACGTGAATTTAGTCTGGTTTAGTCTGCAGTACCGCGAGAGTCCCCCGAGCACATGGCTCCTTCAGCTCCAAGCCAGTAATACCCTATCCAGTTATTATAATAGATCCATGCCCAAGACAAACAATGCCAGAATGAACGGCAACTTCTATTTCCTGTGATCAAACGCCCCCAGAACGCTGCTGCCACCTACTGGTTCACTAAAATACCATCTACAGCCAAACCCAGACATATATCATAGCGGGGACATCGACAGAGATGAAAATAGTGAAAAACACAATCCGTCAATGGCAGGCAATGAGTTAAAGGCTAAACAATCAGGCAGCAAAGAAGCCAAGTGGATAAAATCTGTGTTTGTGTGTATGTGTGTGTTTGTGTGTGTGTGTTTTGTATGTGCGTTTACAGAGGTTACATGGGAAACCCGCCGAAGAAGGTGTACACAGCCACAGCCAAATCAGACCCAAACTCAAGCCAAGCGTACGTCTGAGACCCCCGCCCGCCCGAGACTCCGCCCCCGAGACCCCACCCACCCAAGACCCCGCCCACCCGAGACCCGTCACACTGCTAACTCCGCCCCCCTGAGAAACCCCCTTCCCCACCTGCTCCTCTGCTCATTCCCCAAAGCTTCGTATTCACTTGTGATGTGTTACATGAATAAAGTTTTCTCTGATTTTCTCCTCGGCCTAAGATCTGTTTACGTTTCTGCACAGAATCATCCAGGTCACAAAAACATACAGGCATGTGGACCACGTCAAACGGACTACAGTGGTTATGTGTCGAGGGACGTAGGGACGGAGACACAAGGAGAGAGACACACAGACAGAGGCACTGGGACAGACACACTGGGACAAGATCACAGGGACACAGAGACAGAAACACAGGGACAGGGATACAGGTACAGAGACATATGAAAATATAGACAGTGACAGAGACAAGGACAGAAAGACAGTGACAAGGCACATAGGGAGACAGAGACAGGGACACAGGGACAAGATTACAGGGACACAGACAGAAACACAGGGATAAAGAGACAGACAGAGACACAGAGAAAGACCACACAGACAGGAATACATGGACAGAGACACAGGGACAGGGACAAGATCACAGGGACACAGAGACACAGGGACAGAGACACATGAACAGATAGACAGTGACAGAGACAAGAACAGAAAGACAGTGACAAAGGACGTAGGGAGACAGGGACAGAGACACATGGACAGAGATACATGGACAGAGACACATGGACAGAGAGACATGGACAGAGACACAGGGACAGAGACACATGGACAGAGACACAGGGACAGAGACACAGGGACAGAGACACATGGACAGAGACACAGGGACAGAGACACAGAGACAGAGACACATGGACAGAGACACATTGACAGAGACACATTGACAGAGACACATGGACAGAGACACAGGGACAGAGACACATGGACAGAGACACAGGGACAGAGACATATGGACAGAGACACATGGACAGAGACACAGGGACAGAGACACATTGACAGAGACACATGGACAGAGACACAGGGACAGAGACACGTGGACAGAGACACATGGACAGAGACACATGGACAGAGACACAGGGACAGAGACACAGGGACAGAGACACATGGACAGAGACACATTGACAGAGACACATTGACAGAGACACAGGGACAGAGACACATGGACAGAGACACATGGACAGAGACACAGGGACAGAGACACATGGACAGAGACACATGGACAGAGACACATGGACAGAGACACAGGGACAGAGACACATGGACAGAGACACATGGACAGAGACACATGGACAGAGACACAGGGACAGAGACACAGGGACAGAGACACATGGACAGAGACACAGGGACAGAGACACATGGACAGAGACACAGGGACAGAGACACACGGACAGAGACACATTGACAGAGACACAAATCTGGACTCCTGAGGGACAGTGCATTAGTAAATGAGCAGTGGTATAAGTCTGTGTAATCTGCTGCTGACTCAGAGGCCCCTGCATTAGTCTGTCTGCAGCTCACACACACACACACACACACACACACACACACACACACACACACACGCAGACACGCACGTACACCACCATGCAGTGTGTGTACCCCATGACCACACAGAGACCGAAGGTTTTGCCTGTTCTTCTTTACAAAACAGCTCTCACTCAGTCCAATTCGATGGAGAGTGTGTGTGGACAGGCAGTTCCCTCCGGAGTCGGGCGGTTCTAACGTGTCTCAGTCCAGGTGGAAGAAAGCATCCACTGTCCCTGCTGAAGAAAAGCAGCTCCACGGCGTGATGCACACTCTCTTACACACACAATTATATCCATATGTGTGTGTGTATGTGTCTATGAGTAAGTGTGTCTGTGTGTATGTTCAGATGTGTGCATGTGTGTGTGTTTGTGTGTCTGTCTGTGTGTATGTTCAGATGTGTGTCTGTGTATGTGTGTGTGTAATAACAGCAGTAATCTTCTGTGCTGCTGATCAAGGGGAAAGCGCAATCCTCTCACCTCCATTAGGAAGTGGCCGAGCGCTCCCATTGGCTGCGCAGGGGACGAGGGGCGGGACTTTGAGGCAGGTGTTGAGACCAGCACACTGTAACATCCCTCATATTCATTCCAGACGCCTGAAACTTCACCGGTGAGTGATTTTAACATGTTTATATCCTGCACTGATGGTCCCTGGTTTATGGCAGGGTGATGTGTTCTAAAAATAACCCACAATAAGTGAACCCCCTAAACTCCAGTGAGAGAGACCAGAGAGAGAGAGACCCAAGAGAGGCCAGAGAGAGACCAGAGAGAGACCAGGGAGATAGAGAGTGAGAGACCAGAGAGAAAAACCAGAGAGAGACCTGAAAGAGAGACTAGAGATACAGTATCAAACCTGTTGGTACTTGTGAGGACATCGCAATGAGGGGCAGGAGCAGGACTGAGGGCTACAAGAAGACCAGAGAAAGACCAAAGAGAGACCAGAGAGAGACCAGAGAGAGACCAGAGAGAGACAGCAAAGAGAGTTCAGCAAGAGACCGATGAGAGGCCAGAGAGAGACCGGAGAATCACCGGAGAGAAGGACCAGAGAGTGGCCTGTGAAAGAGACACGAGAGAGAAAGAGCAGAAAGAAAAAAGTCTGGGGAACGATAGACACCAGAGAGAGAGACTAGAGAGACAGGGAAGAGAAACCGCACCGGTTTAACGTTTTCTTCTGACTTTAAACAAAGGTGACATCATATATCCTGGTTGTTATATGATGTTGTTGGGGTACACACACGAGGTACATGAAAAACACACTGTAAAAAAAGTACAATACCACACAAACCTGTGAAATAGCAAGACCTCGAAACCTCTGGTACGGATGCTGCTCCCTCTGGTGGCAGCAGAGAAAGTTACAAGCTAAAATCATATTTTTTTTATCCTTTAATGCATCTGTCGCTATATAAGATATTCTTTCACATACTTCTAAAATATGACAAAAACTGGCTCACGCAATTTTTTAACATTAAAAAAATAAAAACTGTTTTCTTTAAGTCCAGGTCTCTGGCGCCAGGCTCTAAAACAGTTTCTATCACTAGTTTGTCACATCTTTAGATCAGCTTTTTCAGACAGAAAAGTGACAAAGAGAGGACCACCCTCACTCAGCCAATCAGCTCTCAGCCCAAGGTAGTGACTCACAGGGCTCTTATACAGTACGTTCACAAACAAGAAGACCGTATGTTGTGTCTGATTTTCTAGTCTCTCTGGTCTCTCTCTAAGGTATCTCTTTCTGATCTCTCTCTGGTCTCTCTCTTGTTCCTGTCTGGTCTCTCTCTGGTCTCTCTCTGGTCTCTCTCTGGTCTCTCTCTCTGGTCTCTCTCTCTGGTCTCTCTCTCTGGTCTCTCTCTCTGGTCTCTCTCTCTGGTCTCTCTCTCTGGTCTCTCTCTCTGGTCTCTCTCTCTGGTCTCTCTCTGGTCTCTCTCTGGTCTCTCTCTGGTCTCATGTTTTGTCCTTTTTTCAGATCTTCACGAGGCTCCAGGATGAGTCCCAAAAATGTGGTCTTCAAGAAGGTGTGCAAGGACAAGGCGGTAAGTGTGAGTTAAAGCTGCAGTCCTAGACATAGACTGTTTACAGATGGATAATGCTTCCATGCCAGCTCCATGAAGCCCAACAGGGAAGTGCTCATGGTGAAGTTTGACTCCTTTAGCTCAGCAACTCGAGCACGTTTGTGTCACATTCACCATTTTGGGTTTAAATTTGTGGTGTTTATAGAGGGATCGACCAATCAGATGCCTTCATGCACGGGGAAACTCCAGCTTGCCCTAGCAACAGTCTTAGCAACATGTCTGCTCCTGTTATCGTGCAAAGCTAACGCTGCGTAACAAATACCCATCAGTTCTCAACCCAAATAGTCAAAAAGGGACTCCCAGGGCTCAATAATTTTCTCCAAAGTTAATCAAAAACACGTTAAGTTTCCAGCCTTTGTATTTCCGTTGTTGGGTGAATATTTAACCCAGAGATAACTCACTGTTTTGTTGAAACGATGTTGCACCAAAGTAAACACTAATCCGCCTTAAATCCCTTCAGGCTCAGCTCTGATCCTGCACATAGAGTAATTGTCTGTTCCAAATACAATTAAGTGAGTATTCTTTATTCATAAAGCCTTCTCACAGAAGTTACACACAACACTTCTAATTAAAGCTGAGGTATGTAACTTTCAGACCACAAAAACCCATGTCTCTAGTGTCAGGCTCTAAAACACTATACTTGTACTTCAGATGCATACTTCATATTTACAGTATATGTTTGGCCTTTGGTCTTTGTTCCTGGTCTTGTTTATGGTGGTTGTGGGAGGAGACGATGACACAGACCGTTTGCCTCGCTTCTGTTAGTTTGCCCCAGGGCAGCTGTGGCTACAGTAGTAGTTCATCACCACTGTGAAAGCCATGTAAAGGACATTTGAGAGTCCAAAAAGCACTTTATAAAACCAATGCATTATTAATATTATCATTGTTATTATTATCATTACTGTAATTGTGAAGTTGTTGACCGCGGTGGTCTCTGCTCTGTGTCCAGGTGACGGTGTACATGGGGAAGAGAGACTTTGTGGACCATGTGGACTCAGTGGACCCAGTGGGTGAGTGAGATACAGTACCAGACCTGACTCGTCCTGAAGCTGGTTCTGAGTGTAGAGAAGAACTATGCTTTCCTTTAATTCACAGTCACTCTCTGGTCTCTCTCTGGTCTCTCTCTGGTCTCTCTCTGGTCTCTCTCTGGTCTCTCTCTGGTCTCTCTCTGGTCTCTCTCTGGTCTCTCTCTGGTCCCTCTCTGGTCTCTCTCTGATCTCTCTCTGATCTCTCTCTAGTCCCTCTCTAGTTCCTCTCTGGTCTCTCTCTGGTCTCTCTCTAGTCCCTCTCTGGTCTCTCTTTGGTCTCCCTCTGATCTCTCTCTCTCTGTGGTCTCTCTCTGGTCCCTCGATGGTCTCTCTCTGGTCTCCCTCTGGTCTCTCTATGATCTCTGGTCCCTCTCTGGTCTCTCTCTTTTCCCTCTATAATCTCTCTCTGGTCCCTCTCTGGTCCCTCTCTGGTCCCTCTCGGGTCCCTCTCTGGTCCCTCTCTGGTCCCTCTCTGGTCCCTCTCTGGTCCCTCTCTGGTCCCTCTCTGGTCTCTCTCTGGTCTCTCTCTGGTTTATGCTCTAAATTTGCTCTCCTTGTCTCCTGGAGTCATGCAGGTGACCACTCCCTCCAGAAGAGTAAAGGGCACAGATGTAAACCTGTATTTATGATTTTCTGAACCCAGCGTACTAACGATTTTTGTGAGTGTTTAAAAGGATCTTTATGTGGTCCTGTAGATGGGGTCATCGTGGTGGACCCTGAGGCTCTGCAGGGGAGGAAAGGTCAGTTACACTCACGGGTGGTGAGCTCCTCAAACACAGGATGTACATAAATGTATAATACTGGGACATTTGTTGATATTACAAGATAAAAGGTTTCGTTCAAGTCTCTCTGATCTGATCTCTCTCTCTCCTCAGTCTTCGTGACCCTGTCCTGTGTGTTTCGATATGGCCGTGACGACATGGACGTGATGGGACTGGCCTTCAGGAGGGAGCTGTATCTGTCCACGCGGCAGGTCTACCCTCCTCTGCAGGACCCCGACAAGACCGTGCACACCAGGACCCAGGCCAAGCTGTTGCGCAAACTGGGGGACTCCGCCTACCCTTTCTTCTTCGAGGTGGAGTTTAATATTCGTATAAAGTATTTCCTTGGGCTGTTTTATATGGAAAGACAAAACATTAGTATGGAGTATTTTGGCGCAGATATACGGGCCCCAGCGCCTCTGCGACTCAGTCAGATGTATAATAAATTGATTATTATATATTTAAAGACCTTATGACGGGTTTGATTTATTTAGAAATACAGTTTTAATACCATTTTATATTAGAAGAGAACTACTAAAGGTTTCAAAATCAGTTGTTGTTTTTTTTGTCTGATCCCCCCAAATCAAAATAACCCCATAGCAACGCCCTTAGAAACGAAAAAACTTCACAGCCCTTGGTGACGTCAGAGTGGGTACGTTTCAACGCTGTAAGTTGTTTACAATTTGGTATTCGTTCTTTTTTCGCGGATATTCAAGATGACAAGGCCGTGTACAGCGAGTCTAAGATAACTACTAGAATGTGATATTTCGTTGTCACTGAGATAGTCCAGTGGTTGTGTTGATGCACTGCCAATCCAGATACTTGGGTTCAATTCCCACCTCGGACACATTTTCACTCTCAAAACGGCAATTTATGTGTAGTGAGCAATTGTCACCTGTAGAGGGCAGTATTGTGTTGGGCATCAGTGGAGAGAAGAGAGAAAAGGCAGTCCTGTGGCATAGATCCATGGTTTTCAATGCATGGGCGTAACCCGCTATGACGTCACACACAGGTTAGAGCATAGACAGCTTAAATTCATGAAAAACACGTTCTTTTTATAAAATATAGGATTTTTTTTGCCGGAATCTCTTTCAAATTGATATTGTCATGCAATTTTGATATCCACTATATTTTTTTTTAAAACCCGTCATAAGGTCTTTAACCCCTTAAGCTCGCGGGCCCCCGCTGGCAATAGCAGATGTATTTCGAACTTCATAATCCACAAGCTATATATCATTTTAAAGCTTATTTTCTCAGCTATATTTATATGTAAGTGTGAACGATATCAGACTTTACATTAAAAAGATATAACGCATAATATGGGCACAAAATAAATCGTGTTTGTGTAAGTTTCTTACCTTTCGTCTTCTGCTGCTCCTACAAATTAGACTTTCCCCATCCTTGCTTAGTCTCTTTCTCTCCGTAAGTCTTCAGTGAAAAATAATATCCACTTGTATTTCCCAAAGTATAATCCATTCTTCAGAAATAATCCAAAAATGTGCCTTTTTCTGTTGCAAAAAAAACGCTCCGAAAAATGTTCAGGCTTCTCTTTCACATTTCACCAAGTTTACGCTTTGTTTAGCCCCACAAACATCATATCCACGTGTTCCTTGAGTCCTTAGCTTCAAAAAGAGAGGTTCCATGAAAAGATAGGAGCAGGTTTCAGTCCGCAGGACCCTTGTGAAAAAGACAAACCGCATCCACTTGCACAGGGTCCTTTTTCCCTTGTTGTTAATTAGCATGGCTAGCGCAATGGGCTAGCGCAATGTGCTAGCACTGAATGATTGACGTGTCTAAGTAGCCAATAAAAAGAGCTTTCTTTTGATGGGTGGGACTTGTAGGAACTCTTTTCATTTTCACAGTAAAAGCGTGCGTAAAGACGCTGTTAGTACTGCTGCGCATATTTTATATGCATTTACACTACTAAAAAAATTACTTTGAAAAAAATTAAAAGAAAATCACACAGATTTGTAATTCATAAGTACCAAAACTAAAAAATATGCTTTTTATGATGGTGAAATGTTAGTAAAACAGTTTGGCACAATTTGGCACAGATTTTGCCAAATTCGTTCCGAATGGCACTACTTGATAAAAAAGAGAAACTGCATAAAAACTATAAAACTTAGAAGTCTGAAACTTCACACAGTTGTTGTCAACAACACAATGAACAAATTAGCGTTGAAAATTTTCTTCTTCCAATGAAGTAGGCTTTTTTAGGGCATTTATACATTGAATTTTTTAGGCGAGGCTAAAAAAACAGGTTTTTTTCCCCAAACTTCATAGGATGCAGAGTAAAATAGGAATGACATACATTATTTCAGTGTATATTTACATAAACTAAAAGGGCCTAGCTTTAAAATGATGCATCACACAACCATGTGAGATGTAAGATGTGTTTTTAAATAAGCAAAGACATTTGGGTATGCCAAACTTTTGTGCACGAGCCAAAACAGATGTACTGTAGGAGTTTAAGAGGTTAATGTACTGTGATACAAACAATCGCAGTTGATTAAACAGAGTGAAGATATAATCTTACAGTTGTTGCAGCGAAACGGAACTGTTTTTAACCTGAATTTGAACATTGCCTCACATTTTCAGAAAGATTGTGGCAGATTTTAGCTGCATAAATCTGAAACGCTGCCTCCCCATGTTTTGTCCTGACCCTGGACAGTCCCTGTTTTCCTCAGAGTCCTTTGGTGCGAGGCCATGAAAAAACTTCTTCATGAGTAGAGCTGCTTTAAAGTCTCTGAGCAACAGGAGCCAGTGCAGAGACCTGAGACCAGGACTTAAGTGAGAGGACTTCAGGATAGAGTCCTAAAAGAGACAAGTGTTGTTATGGCCTCAAGTAAGGCACCGCCTGTTTCCACGCAGTGACACTCTTTTTTTGGCAGTTCCCAGACAACCTGCCGTGCTCCGTGGCCATGCAGCCGTCCCCCTCTGATGTTGGGAAGGTAGGCAGCCCTGGTCCCCTGTCCCCTAAGACCTGGACCCCAGTCCCTCTCTGTCCCCACTGTCCCCAGAGAGCCCCGGACCTTTCCTCCTCTGTCTCGTCTGACCTCCTGACCCTCCTCCCCCTGGGTAAGTCTTCATCTTAGGCTCTGTGCTTGTGTTTCTGCAGCAATGCGCGGTGGAGTTTGAGATCAAAGCGTTCAGCGCCGAGCGGCAGGACGCCAAGATCAAGAAGAGGTGACATCACAAAGCCTCACCTCGTTATGTTTGTCCAGGACCAGGGGCCTGGTTTTTTCCCCCCATTAATGGTTTTGCAGAATGTTGTAGAAGCTGTTACCATTTGAAGATACTGTAAAATCCCAGAGTAGAAGTTTATTTACAAACAGAGAACCAGAGAGTTCTGAGAGAGAGAGAGAGACCAGAGAGAAACCAGTGAGAGAAACCAGAGAGAGACCAGACAGAGGGACCACAGATTTTTTTTTAAACAGAATCGGTTTTATATAACGCTTTTTTGGACACTCAAAGACGCTTTACATGTCTTTTTTCTTTCACTCTATACACGGTGGTGATAAACTCCTATTGTAGCCACAGCTGCCCTGGGGCACACTGACAGAAGCGAGGCAACCAGTATGTGCCATCGGCCCCTCCGACCACCACCAACCATTCACACACACACCAGACTCATTCTAGGCAATGGGGGTAAAGTGTCTTGCCTAAGGACACAACGGCAGTTTGGCACGACAGCAGTCAGTGGGAGTTGATGGTGAGTCGGGCTCGAACCCACGACCCTCTGGCTTAAAGGCCAATGCTCTACCAACTGAGCTGCTGTCGCCTGATAAGAGATCAGAGAGAGAGAGACCAGTGAGAGAGAGCAGAGAGAGACCAGAGAGAGGCCAGAGAGAGACCAGAGATAAAGAGACCAGAGAGAGACCAGAGAGAGAGACCAGAGATAGAGAGACCAGAGAGAGACCAGAGAGAGAGACCAGAGAGAGAGGTGTAGCAGGTCTTGAGCAAAGTTTGCCTGTTTGATTACAGTTCTGTACGCAGTCCTGTTTTGCCTGCACATCTCTTCCACGCCTCCGGAGCCAAATTGACCTGTGCTCTGTGTCTCAGGAGTTCAGTGCGTCTGATGCTGAGGAAGGTGCAGTACGCTCCGGAGAACCAGGGCCCGGCTCCCTCTGTGGAGGCCACCCGAGAGTTTGTCATGTCTGAGCGCCCCCTGCAGGCCAAGGCCAGTCTGGACAAGGAGGTGAGCACTCCTCTCCCAATGGGAATGTGGTGATGAGTGGAGCAATAGACAGTGTAGAGAGAGACCAGAGGGACCAAAGAGAGACCATAGATATCAGAGAGAGACCAGAGAGAGACCAGAGAGAGACCAGAGAGTGACCAAAGAGAGACCAGAGAGAGACCAGAGAAAGACCAGCGAGAGACCAACAGGAGACCACAGACAGACCAGCAAGGGACCAGAGAGAGCAGAAAGACCAGAGATAGACCAGAGAAAGACAAGAGAGATAACAGGGAAAAGAAAGACTGGAAAAAGACCAGAGAGACAAGAGGGCCCAGAAAGACAAGGGAAAGATCAGAGAGAGACCAAAGAGGTTTATATTACTATTTCCATGAGGATATTGTGAAGTATGAAGATGAGATCTATTCCCATACTTAAAGGTCCTATATCACGTTTTTCTTCATGTTTCACACTCAATCCTATGCACATGTGTTATAATAATGTGTGTGATACACCACACAACAATCAAAGCTTGTGAGATTAGAGCCATCTCTTGTATAGAGGTGACGTCACCACAACTCAAACGAGCTGATCCAGAAGAGTGTCTGCTCCTCTGTCCGTGAGCCCGCCTCCCCCCGCCCGCACGGTGACGTAGCATCACGCTCTTGTCGTTTATCACTGGTACATAGTAATTTCATACATAAGAATAAACTTTTTCCAATGACAATCCGTCACATCGAGCCCTATGTCCTCGATGCACAATCAGACCCTAGTTATTTAGTTTACAGAAGTATACAGCGAGTTAGCGTCACTACTCACAGATCGAGGGGGTCCGAGTTACGTCTTTTACCGTGGGAATAACGTGTTTCCAGATCAGCTTTTGAGAAAGTCCAGTTCCATTGTCCCTGTAGTTCTAGAACAGTCTCAGTGAAGTGTCGCAGATGAACCGGTATTATAATAGATCCATGAGATGAGCAGATGAAAAAAGTCGAGCCGCTTTCTTCCTCTTTGGGCCAAATAGTGCGTCACATATTTACACCTATAACACACTTCATTCAAGTTGAAGTGATCCTAACACTTTTAGTTGCTGACAAAAGCAGAAAAACAGCAGCTCTATGTGGTGTCCGCGAGACCAGACCACAGACGCTGGACTCGGGAGCCGGAGCCTGTGCGCTCTGATTTGCTGTTTTGATCCGTCAATCACCTCCTGCCAGCTTTTAATTTATTTTTATTTTTATTATCAGCATACTAATTGTGTATTGTTTACCCCGTTTTGACGAAAGTATTTAAAAACTATTTTAAATACAAAGCAAACGAGCTTATGCGCGTCATATGCGTCATCAGTGTGGTTTTCGTCACTGAAGTGGACCCGAGCGTTTCTGTGCCTCTCGAGGCTGAAGGAGACAGATCGCTCTCTTACTAAAGATTGACAGAATCAATGAATAAAATACTCTGAGCATGTGTATGAAGGCCAAATAGCACTGTAATCATGTTTAAAGCAGAGAAAAGTCAAAAACCGTGATATGGGCCCTTTAAGGATAGCATGTTAGCACAGGGAGAACATGCAAACACACACACTTCCCTTGTGTTCCCTCAGGTCTACTACCATGGGGAGCCCATCAAAGTCCAACTGCAGGTCACCAACAACTCAAGCAAGACCATAAAGAACATCATCGTGTCTGGTATGTGAGATTCCCTGACCGTTGCTGACCAGTGCTGTGGTCCTGGCTGATCTGCTGCTCTGCTTTCAGTGGACCAGGTGGCCAACGTGGTCCTCTACTCCAACGACAGCTATTCCAAGTCTGTGGACATCGAGGAGCTGGGGTAACCGCATGCAAGGAGTCTGTCCGAGTCACACACAAAACGCCCCACACTTTTTGATCTGAGCCTCGGCAACCCAACATGTCTGCCCCTTCAGACCAGTGGTCAAGCCGAGGCAAACTCCTCTGACTTATGGGAGCCGAGAAGCTGATTCGATCAGCTTCTCACTACAAAGAATACAAAAATATGAAAACTAGACCCAGGACCAGACCGAGACCAAGACCTCAAAAAATATGTCAAATACAGAACTGTTTTAGAGACAGAACCAGACTCCTGTTGAGAACAAACTTCAAGATTTCATTGTGAGTGCAGCCTAAAGCAGCTTCTCTCTCAGGGACTCGGTCTCGGCTGGGGCCTCTCTCCAGAAGACCTACACTCTGCTGCCCCTGCTGGCCAACAACAGGGAGCGCAGGGGAATCGCTCTGGACGGCAAACTGAAGCACGAGGACACCAACCTGGCCTCCTCCAGCATGTGAGCATCTTACTATCACAGCTTCCTTACTATCGGTTTGTGAGCCGTTTGGACTCAACAACACAATGGTATTCCTTTCCTGTGTGCAGAGTGAGGCAGGGCGTTCTGAAGGAGGTGATGGGCATCATGGTGTCTTACAAGGTTGTGGTGAAGCTCATAGTTGGAGGGTGAGTGTGGAGGTGGCTGTGACATCACAATAGTCCAAAGAGTCATAGTTTCAGATTGTGGTGGAGGGCAAACCAACTATGGTATCTATGGTAACTATGGTAGGTGTCAAAAGAGGTGTCAAAATCGACTATAGATATGTTCTATTGTGTGTGATATAATCTGTTAATATAGACGATGCTATACCGCTAGCTGTCGCTTTGTCCGGTCTCTCTCTGGTCTGATTCTGGTTTGATTCTCTCTCTAGTCTCTCTCTCTGGTCTCTCTCTCGGGTCTCTCTCTCGGGTCTCTCTCGGATCTCTCACGCTCCCTCTCTCTGGTCTCTCCCTCTGCTCTCTCTCTCTGGTCTCTCTCTTGGATCTCTTTTCCTCTCTCTGGTCTCCCTCTCTCTCTCTCTCTCTCGCTGCCCTCTCTCTCTCTCTGGTCTCTCTCCCTCTCCAGTCCCTTTCTCTAGTCTCTCTCTATTTTTTCTCTCTGGTCTATCCCTCTCCAGTCTCTCTCCCTTGTCTTCTTTCCCACAGAACTTAACGGTAAAGTTCACGACACGAATCTAGAAAAGCCTCAAGAACTAAAGTGCTCCATCAGTTCTGGAATGAAACAACCGAATACCATTTTAAATAAAGACATGTTTTGTACTTTTGTGTTTCCACAAAAGTCTAACCTGCTTCTCTCTGTCCCGGCTGCAGAATGATGGGCTCCAGGTGAGGTCATGTGCTGCCTTCAGTAAAAATGTTCAAATAGTCATCAGAGGCCAAAACTACAAAGCCCATAGCCGAACTTAAATAGAATAATAAGTTTGTGTTTCTCCCGCTGCAGCGAAGTGGGACTCGAGATTCCCTTCAGACTCATGCACCCGAAACCAGATGCAGGTGAGCGGGACTGAAGAGGAAACCAGGACTAGAGCCGGACTAAAGCAGGACTAAAGCAGGACTAAAGCAGGACTAAAGCAGGACTAAAACAAGTCTAAACCAGGACTAAAGTAGGTCTAGAGTAAGTCTAAAGCCGGTCTAAAACAGGTCTAAACCAGGACTAAAGCAGGTCTAGAGCAAGTCTAAAGCCGGTCTAAAACCGGAATAAAGCAGCGTGAAAGCAGGGCTAAAGCAGGACTAAAGCAGGTCTAAACCAGGATTAAAGCAGGTCTAAAGTTGTGTTTGCTAACTGTTGCTCTTGTGTTGTGCTGCTGCAGTGAAGGAGAGGTGAGTCTTGAACTGATCATTTCAAAGATATTTTAATTAGTGCAAAAAGAACGTATGTCATATGTGTGTGTGTGTGTGTGTGTTCGCATGTGTGTGTGCGTGTGCAGTGAGCTGGAGGAGGAGCTGGTCTTTCAAGAGTTTAAGCGCTCCTACCTGAAAGGCATGGTGGGAGACGATGAAGACGAGGAGGGGAACGTGTCTGGCGGTGATGACATGGCACCCAAAGAGAAGTGAGCCCCCAGACCAGACCCCAGAGAGACCAGAGCCCAGAGGGACCAGAGCCCAGAGGGACAAGACCCCAGAGAGACCAGACCCCCCTGTCCCCAGAGCTCAGGCCAGAGGCACGGGTCTCCAGTCTGTCATATGTGTGTGTTTACTTTAGTGCAAACAGTTTGGTGGATTTGTAACTTTTCAATCAGTGAATGCAGTAATAGAAAGGTCAGTGTTTCTGGGACATACATTCTGCAAAATAATATTTTTTGAGCTTTTAGACATGTTCCAACATTGTTTCACACATATGTGTCCTCTATAACAGTCACATGACACATATGTGTCCTCTATAACAGTCACATGACACATATGTGTCCTCTATAACAGTCACATGACACATATATGTCCTCTATAACAGTCACATGACACATATGTGTCCTCTATAACAGTCACATGACACATATATGTCCTCTATAACAGTCACATGACACATATATGTCCTCTATAACAGTCACATGACACATATGTGTCCTCTATAACAGTCACATGACACATGTGTCCTCTATAACAGTCACATGACACATATGTCTCCTCTATAACCGTCACATGACACATGTGTCCTCTATAACCGTCATATGACACATATGTGTCCTCTATAACAGTCACATGACACATATGTGTCCTCTATAACAGTCACATGACACATATGTCTCCTCTATAACCGTCACATGACACATATGTGTCCTCTATAACCGTCATATGACACATATGTGTCCTCTATAACCGTCACATGACACATATGTGTCCTCTATAACAGTCATATGACACATATGTGTCCTCTATAACAGTCACATGACACATATGTGTCCTCTATAACAGTCACATGACACATATATGTCCTCTATAACCGTCACATGACACATATGTGTCCTCTATAACAGTCACATGACACATATGTCTCCTCTATAACCGTCACAAGACACATATGTGTCCTCTATAACAGTCACATGACACATATGTGTCCTCTATAACCGTCACATGACACATATGTGTCCTCTATAACAGTCATATGACACATATGTGTCCTCTATAACCGTCACATGTTTGGGCCTGATCTTGGGCAGATGGAGAAAAAAGAAAAAACCATTTTGTCTTGTCCTGTGGCCATTTTACCGCATTGTATAAAACACTGAGTCCCAAATGCAGCTGTTCACGTGCTGCAGCCTCTGTCTGAAAATGCTCTTCTTTTAGTTGCTTTTCTTATGTTTTTGTTGGATGTTGTTAATGTTCTAAAGAGTGAACACAACCCTGTCCTCGCTGTGAACACGTGTGTGTGTGTGTGTATGTGTAAGTGTGTGTGTGTGTGTGTGTGTAGGTGTGTGTGTGTGTGTGTGTGTGTGTGTGTGTGTGTGTGTGTGTGTGTGTGTGTGTGTGTGTGTGTGTGTGTGTGTGTGTGTGTGTGTGTGTGTGTGTGCGTGTGTGTGTGTGTGTGTGTGTGTGTGTGTAGTGTCTGTTCTGGAGTTCAGCTTAATAAAAAGGAAAAAAAAACATTTGTTACTGTAGTGATTTATTTGTAATTATAAACAGATAACAATCATAGTTTCAATCAAGTTTAGAAGCTTAGCAACATCACAGCTTAGGGTTTCATTAGAGAGATAATTAGAGAGATCCGACTGTGCAGCAGTGTCCGCAGCTACGTCTATTCTATTCAATGTCACATGACCTTTGACTTCACAACATACAGACCTACAGAGCTCCGGAGTCCTGCCTGTCCTGGTCCAGGGGCTGAGGACACCTAAAAAACCCTTTCTCTGAGAAAGTGGAAAACATTTAATCCCAGGAGTTTAAAGACTACTACTTCACTACCGTACTCTAAAGACAATATCACAACATAAACACCAGGATCTCATAATGGTGAGTGTGACACAAACAATTACTGAGATAGAGGAGTTTACTTTTACATGTAAGTCAGTAGGAGCCAGAGCAAGTAGGAGCCCAATTTGAGCTAGCGGGTTAGCTTTGCCCTTCTAGAGGCTATGGTTAGATCCAGGGCCAAGCAGGTACTGGTTTAACAGGGAGTTGAGGGGAGTAGAGAAGATTAGAATAGAGTAGTGTAGAGTAGAGTAGGGTAGTGTAGAGTTGTGTAGGGTAGAGTAGTGTAGTGTAGAGTAGAGTAGGGTAGAGTAGTGTAGAGTAAGGTAGTGTAGAGTAGGGTAGAGTAGAGTAGGGTAGAGCAGAGTTGAGTAGAGTAGGGTTGTGTAGAGTAGAGTAGAGTAGGATAGGGTAGAGTAGGGTAGGGTAGAGTAGGGTAGAGCAGAGTTGAGTAGAGTAGGGTAGGTTAGAGTAGGGTTGTGTAGAGTAGAGTAGAGTAGGATAGGGTAGAGTAGGGTAGAGTAGGGTAGGGTAGAGTAGGTAGACTAGAGTAGAGTAGGGTATGGCTGGTGAAACCGGGGTTAAACTTACAACAGGACAAAAGTTTCAAAATTATTTATATTATGGCTGTCACACACTTCCTAGTATGATCTCAAGACTGAAGCATTCTGGGTACTGTAGTTTAAAGAATGATGGCTCGCACTTAAAATGTATTTTTCTGAAACCAAAATGATTTCACTTTGTGCTTACTCTCAAAGTTAATTTGACTTTGCGACGGTTCTAGAGGCACAGAGCTGGTTTCACAAACTTACAAAGTGGAAGAGGAGAGGGTGGGACTACAGAGCTCATTAGAATGCACAGATGGTGTGTATATTTATGAGATGAGTGACAGTATGAATGACTACACACTTTTCCTCAGTATGTGTAAAATGTTTTCTATGTTCAAATTATGATGATGTGAGAAACCTCTCTTCTGACCCTGATCAGAAGTCTCCGTCCCCCAATTATTATAAGTCTCCATCCCCCTGTTCATCTATGAGGGGTTGGAGTCATTCGTGGCAGTTCAGAACCAGTTTCTTAGTCTTCTCTGGTCTTTCTCCCCTCTTTCTCTTTCTCTTGTCTCTCTATCTCTGGTCCCTTCCTCTGGTCTCTCTCTCTGGTCTCTCTCTCTCTCTCTCTCTGGTCCCTTCCTCTGGTCTCTCTCTCTGGTCTCTCTTCTTCTCTTCCTTCCAAAAAGTTGCTCAAATTAGCCTGAACTGCACATTTGAGAGGGTGGCTTTATGATGTTATAATTTGAAAATAGAAAACTTAGTTTAATTGACAATAAATACATCACTACATCGCCACGGGAGACGTCTAAACAGGAGACTGCAGCAGTCACTAGTGGATAGGATTGAGTAAATATGTACGGTGTTTAAGTCTCGTTTCTCAGACAAATCCCTCAATATACGGAACAAAAACTTAAGCATGTTTTTAATAGAAGGGATGAGCAGACAAGAATAACATACATAATATAACGCTACATGTGGTGTTTCGTAAAATCTTATTTCTTAAAGCGGATTGAATATCATCTCTTTGTCTGGGATCAAATCACTTCTGTTGCTCGTGCTATGTCAACGAAAAGTCTAAACTCGAAAACTGTGCACTGCCCATGGACTTGTATGCAATTGAACAACCTCAATGCTAACCCGCTAGCTCAATGCTAACCCGTGATGTGCACATGCCGAAGTTTTGACCTGATATTGGCTCCTATTGACTTACATGTAAACGTTAACTCCTCCGGCTCAGTGACCGTTTGTGTCACACTCACGCTTTGGTGTTAATATTGTGGTATTGTCTTTTTTTTTTTTAACTCCCATAAAAAGGATTGACAAATCAGAGGCCTTCATTTGGATGGGGAAACTCCACCTTGTTTAAATCCTGGTTTAAATCATATTAAAAGTGGACTGAACTAGAGTGACGTCACAGTAGTGCTAGCCTTAACGCGGAAGTTTCACTCTGAAGCAGGGGCAGATGAAAACTAACAGGTTGCTAAGATGATTGCTAATGCAAGCCGGTGTTACCCCGTGAATCTGATTGGTTAATCCTGACATAGCTCATGGATTAACTAAGACAATATCACAATATAACGACCAGGATCACAGAGAGCAATAAAGCACAGACTTAAGCCCAAAACGGTGGAGTTTATAATTACATGGAAGTCAATCGGAGCCAGAGAGAGATGGAGGAAAACTTCACTATGAGCACTTGCGTTAGCTCATAGCTATTAGTATTGGGACAAAACATCTTTTTGGGACATATTCACTTAATATTCCAGAAAGTGTGAAACCACAAAGCAGCAGCTGACTACTTTGTGACTTTAAAGCTTTGAAGTTGGACCAGACACCAGGACAGAGGGGGCGGGGCTTAGTGTGAAAAGTGCCTATTTCTGGGTTGAGGTTGCAGCTGACATTATAGTCTGAGCAGAGGACTGCTGACTCGCACTGGGCTCCAGGTTCCATCCCTCCAGCTCGGGGCACCGGAGAGGTCCAGCCATGCACCATCCAGCAGGAAGTGTGCATGATTAGAGAAGTCTAGCCACCTCTGCTCGGACTGCTGCCTCCACAACCTGGGAATGACTAAAGGGGAAGAAAATAGACAGATGGAGTTGTGTTTCTGAATTACTATGGCAACAGCATTCTGTTGGTTACCATGCCAACACTATTTAGTCCCTTACACAGCTCTGGGGTTTGACAAACGTCATAACTGGTTGTAAATTATTTCCGTGTACCTTCCAAGACTTTGGGCTAGGCCAAAGTTCACCAAGGGAACAGCACACCTGTGATGTCAGGAGGAGTGATGGCATCTCGGATGTCTCCCGCGATGCAGGAGTCCGGTGACAGCAGCCAGCCAGAGAAAGACGAGCTGAGCTCTTTTCCTGCATACATCCCGTTATTGTCTGTATCTTTGACCTGCACCCACACTTGGTCACGGACCTTCAGATGCAACACCACCTCCAAGCTGACTGTGGTGGTGTCAGTGTACTCCGTCACCTTTGCCACGGGCTCAAAGTTGAGATACAGCCCAGCGATGAGTTTTCGTTCCTTCACCAGCAGGTTAGCGGTGAAGACGTACGTGCCGTTGACTGGTACAATAAAAATCCCGATGTTCGGACTGTAGTGACTGTGTGGGTTGTAGATGATGCTGGTGAATCTGACTGGGCGTCCAGGCGCAGGGAAAGACGTCTCCAGAACTGCAGTGAAACTGGACTGGAATGCCATTGTGCACGGGCCGGGCATGCCTGAGAAGCCCATGTCACCCTCCAGTCCCTTTGGGCCCATGTCACCCTGATCTCCTGGCACACCCACTACACCCTTCACGCCTTTCTCTCCGGCCAGTCCTTTTGGTCCATCTGTCCCATCTACTCTATCGATACAGTCACAGGGGCCTGGAAGTCCCACCTTGCCCTTCAGCCCAGCTAACCCACCAGGTCCATCCAATCCTTTGTCCCCTTTGTCGCCACCAACCCCAGGAAAGCCCTTGGAGCCTGCGGTGCCGGGTATGCCACGGGCGCCGGACTGTCCCGGGGCACCAGGTTTCCCAGGTGGACCTACGACAATCTCACACTGGCAGGAGCCGGGCAAGCCCTGGGGACCCAAAGGTCCTGCGAAGCCTTCGTCTCCATCATCACCCTTTTCTCCTAGAAAGCACAGGTTTGAAATGAATTCTGTGAAAAATGTCTGAGATTTTATAAAATTACATAATTTGAAACTGTTTTGTATCTGTGTTCCCTGCGCCACAGCCAGTCCTGGTCTCCTCCCTCAGAGTCTCTGCTCCTCTCTCACAGTTCTGGTCTCCTCCCTCAATCTGTCTCTGCTTCTCATTGTACTGTATACTCCATTACAGAAAGTAAATCCTGGTCCTGGTCCTGGACCACCCACTTACTGCCCAAAGATTGGGTTCTTTCTTACACAAAAGAAAGAGCCCTTTTACTAGGTCGAAGAATGAAGGGCAATTTGCTTGTAAGTCAGTAGGTAATTAGTACTTGTTTATTCATATAGCATATTTCACAGACCACAGTCACACATCCTTAAACCTTCGTATGAGTTGGTGCTCGGAGGAGACAGGGTGATGATGTCATGGAGTTACCTTTGAATCCTCGATCTCCTTTGACCCCCGTTGTCCCGATTGGTCCTGGAAGACCCTTCTCTCCAATCTCCCCTGTCTGACCTGCAGAACACAAGCAGAGGTCCAGTCCATCCATCTGTTGTATGTATGGAATGAGATAAGACCCTGGTGGTCCTCCACATCATATATAGCCACGAGTGTAACATGCACTGTAAACCCGAACTCTATAAATAGTTAAAGTTAGTTAGTGAGGTGCAGTTAACTTGAAAAAAAAACATAAAAGTTCAACTAACTTAACGTGCTTGAGTGCTATGAACATGCTTTGACTTTTCGATAATTGGGCCCGAGCCCTGAACGGGGAAAGGGCCTATTGTTTTTGCTCGAGAGATGTCAAATACTGCACTTTGAGCCTTAAGTTGACCCCCTGAACATGCATGAAAAGTTGTAAAATTTGGTGAAAAATTTGATATTTTGGTGTTTATTTTTATGGGACTAAAAAAATGCCAGAACAGCGCCAATGGGAGTTTCAGAGGTCAAGTTTGTTGTAGAGCCATGAAATTCGGTGCACATGTTTCTCAAGTCAAGACATGAAATTTTGTTTCATGTCTTGCCCTCTGACAAACAGGAAGCCCATAAATTTCACTAGCCTGACTCTCGCCAGACCCATGTAGTTCGCTGCACTTCACACATGAGTCTGGTACTGAGCCATAGTGGTTGGATTTCAGAAGGCAGGGCCTTGTAAAAAAAATCCTTGCATGTGATTGGATAGACCACTTGTCCGTTATCTTGAATGAAGTCTGCTTTCGACCACTCACATCGAAGCACACGGCTCCCATAGGTTGCCAAATCCCAGCAAGATTTTCCAACCCAAAATCCACAAGAATACCCCAAAAAAACACGCTAAAAACGTAATATAACAAACTTGGGCTATCATGATTCTGTTTATTGTCTTTCTGTTTATTTAATACCTACAAGTCTCTTGGAAAAAAATATGTGGGAACCACCAAACCTGGCAACCCTGCTGCATGGTGTGTAAACAGGAACACTGAACCAGTGCTTCAACCAAACTTTACAGGAACATTTGACTCTTAAAACACACATATATCAACATAGAACCATCTACATCTCGCCTCAAATTGCATTAAAAGTGACATTTGCGTCTTAATTCGATCGTATTTACTCTTTTAAAAAGATTCGCGGACTTTACGTCCGCCATCTTGGATTCCTCTTGCTGCTGCATGAGAGAAGCTTGAGAAGGCAGTGCAAACCCCACGTAACACCGGCAATCCTGATTGGTCGATTAAAAAATAATCTAGGGAAGGCGTTCGCCATGGCGTCGATACCAGACCCATGTGGTTCAGCCAAACACCTCTGGTGGAGCATGGCGGAACTACAAGGGTCTGGCAGAGCCAGGCTAAAATTTCACTGCAAAATGGAAAAATGAACAGCAATAATTTTCATACATGTCGGTTGGAAAGCAACTCCTCCTCGGCCGTTTCACCGATTGGCCTCAAAACGCTCCACATCATCTCAACACATGCACCTTCCAAATGACCTCAGGGAATTTTGATTAGTGAAACATTGTTTGAGCAGCAGAGCGGCAAAATGTGAGTTTTTATTGGCAGTTTTTGACAACATTCTATTTGCTCCCGTTTGCACAAACAAATTCCGATTTGCACAAAACTTGAATCCATGGTTTAACTCTAGGGTCTAGGTCATTTGAAAGTGAAATAATTGAACTTGGCTCATTAACGCCCCCTACAGACTATTTCAGAGATTTTAGTATGAAAAACTCTGAAAACTTTGACCCCATCTCTAGGGGGCGCTAATGAGCAAAGTTATTTTATTTCACTTTCAATTGACCTAGACCCTAGAGTTGAGCAATTTATTAAAGTTTTGTGCAAATCAGACTTTGTATGTGCAAACGGTAGCAAATTCAATATTGTCCAAAATGGCCAAAAAAAGGTCACATTTTGCCACTCGAACAACGTTTCACTGATCAAAATTCGCCAAAGTTATTTTCAGGGTACATGTGTTGAGATGATGTGGAGCGATTTTTCCATTTTGCAGTAAAATTTATGGGCTCCCTGTTTGTCATGGCGGGGCCATAATAATTTTTTGTGTACCAAATTTCATGGCTCTACGACAAATTTGACCTCCGAAAACTCCCATAGGGGTATTATTAGGCCCGAGCCCCAAAATGGGAAAGGGCCTATTGTTTTTGCTCGAGAGATGTCAAATTCTGACATCTCTGCGGTGCGGGGAGTCGTGCGGTGTGGCGAGGGCCGTTTGACGCCGCTTGCGGCTTTAATTACATTTACAATTTGTTTTAAGTTTTTACTTTTTACAGATGTAATATTTTTTTCAAGATAAAAAATATTGTATTACTAGAAGGAGAGGCTAGGAGCATCTATTTTTATTTACTTTATTTAATGTTTTCATGTTTGTCACACGACTGGCCATTCTTCACAAGCCCCGATGAAAACAGCACGTTAAAACGTTGACGAAATAAAAGCAGAATTATCTGCATCCAACTGCCTCTGACCTATTCTCTAAGATAATTTTTGAAATAAGGCTGGTAGAGCACTGGCTTTTGATCCTGAAGGTCGAGGGTTTGAGCCCACTGCGAGACCTTCTTCACCAACTTCCACTGTTGTCTGCTGTGTGTCCTTAGGCAGCCCCACTTTGCCTAAAGCCTTTAATGAAAGATTGTGACTATGCTGTCACTGACAGAGAAGCCAGCCTCCTGTGGACTCACCAGCTGCAGGAGGACCAGTGAGGGCATGCATGAGAGGAGAGGATGTGAATTGGAAGAGGACACTCACCTTTGACTCCAGGGGCTCCAGTGAATCCTAGGGTCCCTTTCCAGCCTGTCAGGCCCCTTCTCCCTGTACTGCCCTCGAAGCCTGCAACACAAGGATCTGTTTGAGCATACATCATAGAGCATATATGAAGGGTGGACTGACATCACCATAGTGTTAGCCTTAATGCAGACGCGGCCAACCATAAGATAGCTGGAGCTGATTTCCTAATATGGGCAGTTCCGATGGCGTTAACTTTGTGCCATAACAGAGGCAGACGTGCTGCTAAGACAGTTGCTAAGGCAAGCTGGAGTTTCCCACCAATAAATGAAAGCATCTGATTGGTCAATCCTAGTATGGCTTATATCTGGATTTACAGAGACAATATCACAATATGGTCGTAGTGAGCGCTAAATCACAAATTGGTGAGTGTGACACAAGTGGTTACTTAGCTAGAGTAGTTTATTTTTCAATGTAAGTCAATAGGAGCCATAGAGAGTCAGAGCAAACTTTGTCCATGAGCTCATCCCTATTGGGCTCCATTAAGCTAGCGAGTTAGCATGAAGCGTCTGTATACAGTCTATGGTTGCTTGGGGTAAACTGGGGGTAACAGTGTAAGTGCTCAGCATTAGCAGTTTTCACTCTATTGGCTCTAAATGTCAATAGATGTGTGTGTGGGTCATGCACGTGCCTGACGGGCCCACGTCCCCCCGTGGCCCCTTCTGGCCCGTCTTGCCCTTGCAGTAGGAGCACAGGCAGAAGAGGGGGATCTGGTCATAGGGGCCGGCCGAGCTGAGCAGGACGTCGCACATGAGCGGGTCGGGGAACATGACGTTGTCCGTGTTGGACTCAGACAGGTCCATGGGTAACGAGGACATCCCCAGCTCCACGGGTCCGGCTCGGTTCATCCCTCCGCTGCTTGTAAAGCCTAATCCGGTGAAGAGCATGGTGTTGTCCGAGCCGTTGGTGCTCCTGTCCAAGCTGCCGATGTTTGTCCCAGACCCTCGGTACATGGATGAACAGAGCGTGCTCAGGAGAAACAGCCCAAACAGCCTCCGCAACATCTGCGACACACAGACAGGTGCAGGGGACAGTGTTATAGTCAAACAACTTCAAGACAATTACAAAAGATTCAGAGTTCTGGGATCGATTCTCAGCAGAAGCCTGTAAACATCACAGCCAGAGCTTCAAAGCCTTCAGTGGCGTTCCAAGGGTACCCCGGGGCCCCAGGCAACAGAATCCTTGAGGGCCCCAATACCGACCACATAACCACATAAAAAGGTTTATATTTCAGTAGGTATGAACAAATACAGTGCCTTGCGAAAGTAACCTTTCAACATTTCGCCACATTTCAGGCTTCAAACATAAAGATATAACATTTTAATTTTTTGTCATGAATCACCAACAAGTGGGACACAATCGTGAAGTGGAACGAAATTTATTGGATAATTTAAACTTTTTTAACAAATAAAAAACTGAAAAGTGGGGCATGCAATATTATTATACTTTCAGTGCAGCAAACTCACTCCAGAAGTTCAGTGAGGATCTTTGAATGATCCAATGTTGTCCTAAATGACTGATGATGATAAATAGAATGCACCTGTGTGTAATCAAGTCTCCGTATAAATGCACCTGCTCTTTGATAGTCTCAGGGTTCTGTTTAAAGCGCAGAGAGAACCATGAAGACAAAGGAACACACCAGGCAGGTCCGAGATACTGTTGTGGAAAAGTTTAAAGCCGGATTTGGATACAAAAAGATTTCCCAAGCTTTAAACATCTCAAGGAGGACTGTGCAAGCAATTATATTGAAATGGAAGGAGTATCAGACCACTGCAAATCTACCAAGACCCGGCCGTCCCTCCAAACTTTCATCTCAAACAAGGAGAAGACTGATCAGAGATGCAGCCAAGAGGCCCATGATCACTCTGAACTGCAGATAACTACAGCTGAGGTGGGAGAGTCTGTCCATAGGACAACAATCAGTCGTGCACTGCACAAATCTGGCCTTTATGGAAGAGTGGCAAGAAGAAAGCCATTTCTCAAAGATATCCATAAAAAGTCTTGTTTAAAGTTTGCCACAAGCCACCTGGGAGACACACCAAACATGTGGAAGAAGGTGCTCTGGTCAGATGAAACCAAAATCGAACTTTTTGGCCACAATGTAAAACAATATGTTTGGCGTAAAAGCAACACAGCTCATCACCCTGAACACACCATCCCCACTGTCAACATGGTGGTGGCAGCATCATGGTTTGGGCCTGCTTTTCTTCAGCAGGGACAGGGAAGATGGATGGAGCCAAATACAGGACCATTCTGTAAGAAAACCTGTTGGAGTCTGCAAAAGACCTGAGACTGGGACGGAGATTTATTTTCCAACAGGACAATGATCCAAAACATAAAGCCAAATCTACAATGGAATGGTTCACAAATAGACGTATCCAGGTGTTAGAATGGCCAAGTCAAAGTCCAGACCTGAATCCAATCGAGAATCTGTGGAAAGAGCTGAACACTGCTGTTCACAAACGCTCTCCATCCAACCTCACTGAGCTCGAGCTGTTTTGCAAGGAAGAATGGGAAAGAATTCTAGTCTCTCGATGTGCAAAACTGATAGAGACATACCCCAAGCGACTTGCAGCTGTAATTGCAGCAAAAGGTGGCGCTACAAAGTATTAGCGCAAGGGGGCCGAATAATATTGCACACCCCACTTTTCAGTTTTTTATTTGTTAAAAAAGTTTAAATTATCCAATACATTTCGTTCCACTTCACGATTGTGTCCCACTTGCTGTTGATTCTTGAGAAAAAATATTTGTTTTATATCTTTATGTTTGAAGCCTGAAATGTGGCGAAATGTTGAAAGGTTCAAGGGGGCCGAATACTTTCGCAAGGCACTGTATTTAATAATAAGGTAAAATGCAATCTATTACTTGTTTTACAAGTTAAATGTAGACAGTGTCTTATTTTTAACAATAAATGGATAGGCCTGGGGCATGCCTGGCATACTGTACAGTTTACCAAAGAAAATTGAGAGTACTTCAGTTCTTATCGTGACACTAAACAATGAGAAATAATTTAGCATGTCTTTTATAAGCTTGTGCACTACACTCATCATGTTATAATTAATTACAAAAAACTGCTTGTTTTTACCTTTCACCGTTCTTGAGCAATCTGTCATAGAATATAACATTAATAGTTTAACCCGAAACCAGGCCTCACCTGGATTCAAACCCGGACCTGCAACCAGGGCTGGACTGGGACAAAAAAACGGCCCTGGCATTTTTTCCTTTTTAGCGGCCCAGGCAACTCAAAAAGTTCAAGGAGCCATATTTGACAAAAAAAACTAAAAACAACATCTGTCTGGGGCCGCAAAAAAAAAAAAAAAAATACAGCGTTGTATAAGGCTTACATGAAGGTAACAGGGGCTAAAGCTGTATTAGCTACATTAGCTACATTAGCTACCTTAGCTACATTAGCTATATTAGCCTAATATCTAAATGACAAAGTAAAGGCTACAAACACATAAAAACCATTCATGATTATCAAATGTGTATTTTCACTGCAGCGTGTCCTGGAGAGAATGACGCACCACGTGACAACTCTGCTTTAAGTTTAACTTCCATTTTTTTGCCTTCATGCAATTGTACAAATACAGTAAATAAATCTGCTTTTTGGCTCCGAGTTCACCTGCATCACTGTCTGTTCATATCCATCACGTCACAGGCTGAAGTTTGCTGGAGCTGAATGTCCTTAATGGCCTTTTCTTTCACCGTCTTTGCGAAGGTTTTTGAAGTCTGAAAATAGGTGCTCTGACTTTATGATGAATGAATCTTTCAGTGAACGGTGTTTAAAGCTTCATTGTTCCTCCTGTTGCAACAAAACTTTTCATTACATCGCAAACATGAAGCAGTCCTTCCTCATTGACCGAAAGCAAATGTTCATTCTCATTCTAGTCCAGTCTTATCGACTCTGTCTCTTTATCTTTGGGATCCATGCGCACAGTCTATAATGCACACACGCCGGTTTGTTTACAGCAGCGGCCGCCTGGCGCGGGCCGCGTCACAGGATATGACGCACTACGTTGACAGAAATGCTAAAATTGAATATTACTTATACAAGTTTTTGCAGCATTGAAAAACATTAATAGATTTTATTTATAATGCACTTTACATTTCAGGGAAACCTCAGAGTGCTACAAAAACAGGGAACATCCCCAAGATACACAACATAAAAACAATACATCAAATATAACATCAGGAAAAAATAAAATAAAATAAAACATAATTACTGTACATATCTAGAAGGCCTGTTTGAATAGGAATGTCTTTAGGCCTTTCTTAAAAGCCTCCACACTTTGTGGGGCCCTGAGGGTTTCTGGGAGGGCATTCCAGAGCCGGGGGGCTACTGCCTGAAAGGCCCTATCTCCCATGGTGGAGAGTTTGGTCCTGGGTTGGTGCAGGCAGTGGGAGGAGGTGGTTGAACGGAGACTTCGAGAGGCGGTGTGTGGTGTTAGGAGTTCACTGAGGTAGGCAGGGGCAGTTCCGTGTGTGCATTGATATGTGAGGAGGCAGAGTTTGTACTGTATTCTGTGTTTGATGGGCAGCCAGTGGAGTGATTTAAAGACGGGTGTGATATGGTCATATTTGCGCCTCCTCGTCAGGACCCGGGCAGCACAGTTCTGGATGTACTGGAGTTTTTGCAGACCCTTTGCAGAGGTCCCGACGAGGAGGGCATTGCAGTAATCCAACCTGGAGGAGACAAAGGCATGGATCAGCTTCTCAGCGTCCGGTTGTGAGAGGGAGGAGCGGAGTCTGGCAATGTTTTTGAGGTGAAGGAAGGAGACTTTACAGAGGTGGCGGATGTGGGTATCAAATGTAAAATTAGAGTCGAGCCTGACTCCAAGGTTATTAACAGATGTGGACAGGGGGATGTTATGGCCAAAAATTGAAACACTACTGAGAGGGGAGGACTGGGTTTGGTGGGGGGTGCCAAAGAGGATTGCATCAGTTTTACCACTGTTAAGTTGAAGAGAATTGTTGTCCATCCATGCCTTTATCTCCTCCAGACAAAGCTGAAGGGCTGACGTAAAACCTGTGGGTGAAGTGGAGTCCATTTTCAGGTATAACTGTGTATCATCGGCGTAGCAGTGGAAAGAAATGTTGTGTCTGTTTATGATTTGACCAAGGGGGAGCATGTATATTGTAAAAAGGGTTGGCCCGAGGACTGAGCCTTGCGGTACCCCACAGGTAACTGAATGGGTTGACGATTTGTACTGGCCTAGGGACACATATTCTGTTCTGTCAGTGAGATATGAATGAAACCATTTGAGTGTTGTCTGTGAAAGTCCAATTACTGATTGTAGTCTATGGAGGAGAATGGTGTGGTCCACGGTATCAAAAGCTGCTGACAGATCGAGGAGGAGGAGGAGAGAGGGTGAGCCCCGGTCCGCAGTCATGAGTAGGTCATTCATGACGCGGACCAAGGCTGTCTCTGTACTGTGGGCTGAGCGGAAACCAGATTGAAATTTCTCATATAGGTTATGGGAGCGTAAGTGATTGTGGAGTTGGGCTGCTACTGCTTTTTCGAGGACTTTGGAGAGGAATGGGAGGTTTGAGACTGGTCTGTAGTGGGCTAGGATGTTGGGGTCAAGTGAAGGTTTTTTCAGGTGAGGGCGGATTACTGCATTTTTGAGAGCTGGGGGGACCTGACCAGATTTTAGTGACTGGTTAATGATTTCTGTTATTAATGGGCTAATGGCGGAAAAGTTTGATTTGAGAAGTGTTGTGGGGAGAGGATCCAGCAGACAGGTGGAGGGCTTCATGCTGCTTATGATCCTCTCCACTTCAGACTGGGAGATATCCAAGAAGGAGGTAAAGGTGTTGGGCGGCTTAGGAAAGATTATGTCAGTTGGAAATGGGGTAGTGGAAGGAAGGGCAGACCGGATTGACATTACCTTGTTGGTGAAGTAGTCCATGAACCTATTGCAATGGTCCGTACTGGTGTCAGACAGTGTGTGTGTGTGAGGTTTGACCAGAGTGTTTATTTCAGAAAATAATCGTTTTGAATTGC